TTCTGTCAAGCACAGGTATTACTCCTTGCTGGTGTTCAGTATTAATTCAACTGTTTAATTTTTAGTTAATTTTAGCCTATGCTGTTTAGTCCACTTAAGATTATAAACTTCTTAAAAATTCGGATCATATCTTTTATGCCTTTATACCCTTCTTTTTTACCTCCTAACAAATACTGAGAATATAGGAAGTAGTCAATATAAATATTCATTGAATTGAATCAATAATTTTAAAATAAAATACACCAATATCAATTATTAACCTTTATATTTTAAAGCTACTTCATTAAAGAAAAATTTAAAAGTGATAATCAGCCCCAATCTCTGTGGCTCATTGGCTGGGCATTGTTCTGAAAAGTGGAAAGTCATTAGTCCATTCCTGGTCAGTGCACATGCCTGGGTTGCTGGTTTGGTCCCCGGTTGGGGCACAGATAAGAGGCAGCCAATCAATGTTTCTCTCTCACATCAAAGTTTCTCTCCCTCTCTTTCTCCTTCCCTTCCCCTCTCTCTAAAAATAAATAACTAAAATCTTTTTAAAAAATTAAATAAAAGAGAGAGTCAGTTAAAGGACAACTCAGCAATGTTCCAACCAATTTTGGTTTCTATTCCTAAATTCTTGGTTTAAAAATTAATTGTACTCATTCTGTGTAAAATTTTATGTCTTTTTTTTCTTCTTACTATTAGTAATCCCTTCTGTGTTGTTATGATGAGTTTTTACTTTTAACACTGTATAATGGTGCAGAGGACAGCTTCAGCCTCTAGGACAGTGTGATGGGTAAGTTTTTGTATCAGTTTGACTGGGCCAAGGGGTGCCCATATTAAACATTATTTTTGGATGTGTCAGTGAGGGTGTTTCCACATGAGATTAGCATTTGAATCACTGGCCTTAGTAAAGTAGACTGCATTCCCCAATATGCATAGGCATTATCCAATCCACTGATGGCCTGAATAGAACACAAAGTCAGAGGAAGGAGGAATTCAAACCTGCTTCCTGCCTGGTTGATTGAGGAGGGACATCTCTATTCTTCTGCTCTTAGACTGGGATTTACACCATCTGCTCCAATGATCCTCTGGCTTTCAGATAGCACATCATGGAACTGCTTGGCCTCCATAATCATGTGACCCAATTCCTCATCTTTTAAATATTTTTATATATGTATATAAAATATATATGACAAATGGAAATGTATTTGATGTTTAAAATTTGAATTACTTTACCATTGAGAATGGATCTTTCTTATGTGTTTATTGAGCAACTGCATTTTCTCTTTCATAAATTTTTTTCACATTTTTGTCCATTTATCTATTGGACCGTTCATTTTAATGAACACCTTACAATAGCAACTTATTAAAACATCTTGTAAAATAAAATAAAATTCTGTGATTTTTTTTCCCTTAAAATAGATGTCATCAAATTAAGGAAACCACTAGCCAAATAAAAGCAAATCGTTATAATCACAGAAAGAAAAGTACAAGCTGAAATAAATGTTTGTTCAAATATTGAATGATGCCATCTAGTGGAAAATTGATTTTAATTTCTCTCTCCAGATCAGAGCTTCCCAAATTTCAATGCTCCTGAATTTGGTATTTATGAGAGCTTATTAGAACATACTCTAGCCATGACCGGTGTGGTTCAGTTGGTTGGGCGTCATCCCACAAAGTGAAAAGTTGCCAGTTTGATTCCCTAACAGGGCAGATGCTTGGTTTGCTGGCCCAGGCATGAGAGGCAACCCATGGATGTTCCTCTCAAATCAGTGTTTCTCTCCTTCTCTTTCTCCCCTCTTTCTCTCTCTCTAAAAATAAATAAATAAAATCTTTAAAAAATACTTTAAAAATATGTATTCTAGTCTCTCCTTTACCTGGAGATTTCTAACTCACTTAATGTATATGATAACTCAAGAGTGTGTTTCAACATTATCCACATTGGAAACTAATTCCACGTCAGTTAAAATTAAGCTGCCCATTGGTACATTGTGTTTTCCTTTTCTGTGGATGAAGAAGGGGCCACCTACTAAACTGATTAGCTCAGGAAAGACCAGGATGAAGAGCCTTGCAAACTCAGAGACTGAAAGCAACCATGTAGGATGGTCTGAACATAAAAATCCCTAACTATAAGCAGGTCATGGTGGTTAGTGACATCTTAGGCCTGTAGGTCAATCTTTAACATAAGTGAGCTATTGTTTTTTTGCATCTAAGATAACATCCCTTTGAAACGTCAGAGTAATCCCCTTTTTCCAGACCCCTAAGGGTATAACCTCCCATCAGAGCCTGAGACCACAGAACACTTCCTTTTTATCTTATTGACCACATACCATCTATATGTGCTATAAATGTTAATTATTAATTACCCTGTCCCACCAATGCAAAAGAAGTATGTAGCTATCCATTTACCTTTTATCCAGTCTCAGAGATTTCCCCACTTTGCTTTCTCCCACCTTCCTAATCTACCACCAATGAATTTCCTGTAACCCCCTTTATGTCTCCTCCTTTGATTCTAACATATAAAATAAGCGGTAAAACAGCCACTCTCCAGAGCATTTTCTCAGTCGGTTGAGATTTTGCTTCCCAGTAATTGTTGTCAATTTGGATCAAATAAACTCTTCTAAGACTTTTTCTTAGGCTGGACATTCTTTTGTCAACATTTTTAATTAAAATTTTCCTCAACTTAACCACAAGGAGTAGTTTTGCTACTGCTAACAGGCTTTTAAAAGAGTAGTCTGTGCCAGTCTGTGTTAACTGTTTTACTTGTATTATTCAATTTGATCCTCTCAACAATTCTAATAAGGTAAGTACTATTGTTATACCATAGGCATACCCAGGAGGTATTTTAGGTTCAGTCCCAGACCACTGTAATAAAGCAAATACCACAATAAAGTGAGTCATAATATTTTTGCTGGTCTTGCCTTCAGTTTGTTAAAAACACAATACCTGTGAACTGCAATAAAGAGAAGCACAATAAAAAGAGAAATGTTTGTATCTTACAGATGATAACACTGAGGTAGAGAAGTTTAGTAGCTTCCCTAAGGTCACACAGCTAATAAGTTACCTTAACCCAGAGTCCACCATGTTATTTCATATGTGCACAGGGCTCTGAGTTGGGAAAGATAATAATCACACCAACAGTAGAAAAGGACTAATGATTTTACAATTCTATACTGTCATCTACATTCAACTTAGTATACCACGTGCAGAAATGAGTTATATTCCTTAATTACTGGGCGCTATTTAGGAATGTTTTCCTTTGACATTTTGCAACTTAACATTTACATTGTTTGGATTAATACATTACACACTCAGGTGTTCCTTAAATATTGGGTATAGATTTTTGGTACTATAAATTTAGTTTCCAATACTTTGCTGTTACTCTCCATTTTCCCCCAACACTAACATAAACTAAACCGATCCGCTTCAAACCTTGTATGTGGAGTCAAACTGAAACTAATTTATTTATAACTGGTTACAAAACCCAGTTGATAGGGATCTGTTAGCCAGACCAGGCAGCTGAGGCTAATGAAGCCGACCTTATGCATTGGCGCTTATCCCCACCCCCATGGGCCAAGGCCCTAGGCCTGCCCAGGCTGGTCTGAGCCCACTCATTCTGGCAGTAGTCAAGCTCTGCTTCCTCAGACCTCACTGAAACTTATCTTTCCTATTGTTCACTCCCTCTGTAGGGCTCAAAGTATCAACTAACTACAACTTAAAAGATTAATTCCTGCCCTAGTAGGAAATAATGTGAAGGTAACATAGGAACTTTACAATAGTCCTTCTTGAGGCTATATCCCTTACAACTGCCCTATGCTCAGATCTTTTGAGCATTAGCAAAAAAAGGACATCAAATAATACAGTGGATTTTTAAAAATGGAGTGACCACACAATATAAAAATTTCTCAATTTATTTTTACATGGCTGAGTGGAAGACAAATTTGAAAATATAATCTTATATTTGTATCTATATATCCCTCTATCCCATCCCTACCTCCCAGGAGCTCAAAGTGTGAAATGGTCAAGCCCAATGATGCAAAAAAGGTTCAAGTTAATATTCAGCAAAACAAAGGGAAAAAATGGTGACTAACAAAAAATATTCTAGTATATTAAAGTGGGAATAATAGGGAAAATAAAAATAATAATAACTTTATTTGAGCATTAATTTGTCCCAGGCACTTTTCTAAATGCTCTTTGAATGCCCGCAAAGGGATTCCTCAAGGTGGGAACAATGATTAATCTTTTACAGATAAGGAAACTGAGTAGTTAAGTCACTTCCTGGAGTCATACAGCTAATAAACTGTGGAACTAGAACCAAGCTGTTAGGCCCCAGGGCCCAAGCTCTCTTAACTACTACAGGACAAAAGATCAAACCTGTATTACTTCCTTGTAGAGTCAGTGGCAAACTTGGGGCAAAAAATACACAATGGTTTGCTCCTTTAACTAATGGACATTTGCCTGAGTTATTTAGGCGCTTGCTGTCTCCAAGCTCATTCAGAAAAGTAAATTAATAGTGCTTTATTATGCAACTGAATTCAAAATGAGTCCCATAGGGTAAGAGTATGGACGTCTTAGAACGTTAAAAGGACTAACATATTCTTTTCAGATTCTTAATTTTTTTAAATGGAAGAAGAAAAAGCCAAACAAGGTTACAGGAACTGTGGTATAGATTTACCTAAAACAAATTATTAATGATTTTAACACACTCAATATGACAGTAGTGTTTGAAACCTCATTTTGTAGATAACTACATAGGTCTCAGTTTAACACTCTGTGATTCTGAGGTCCGGCCGCTGACTTCCTGGCAACCGGCAATACGTCCTGGTGAAAACTCCAGGAACCCCAATTAAAACATTGCTTTTGTTTCCCTTGTGTAAACGCGACAGAACACCCACCAGAAGACAATGGCTGCAAACCGCGGTCTAATAACCTAGCGGTGCCCCTGGAAAAGCAGTCGGGTCAGGAACGCCCTCGGAACCAAAGCGCTAGCTCCCGCCGGTTGGGGCTGCATTTCCAGAGCACCAAGGGGCGGGGCCTGGCCTGCCGCCTGGCTAAACGCGCCGGAGTCAGCTTGAGTGGCTGGGCCTGGGAGAGGGCAGTGAGGGGCAGTGGCAGGCTGCCCAACCATGCTGAGTGCGTCGTGCGGCAGGCTCGCTTCGGTGCTGCGGAGTACACGCGTGCTGCCGTCTACAGTCGCCCGTAGGTACCTTCGCGCGTCGGGGTCGCGGCCCTCGGCTGACCAGAGAGAGAGGACGGAGGAACCGCCCCGCGCCTTCGACCCATCGCTGCTTAAGTTCTTGGTGTGCCCTCTGTCCAAGAAGCCGCTCAGGTGAGCTTCGTCCGCCACGGCTTTCCCTTCGCGGCCTCCCGTTGTGGGAGGGGACAGGTGGACCGCGCGGCCGCTTCCAGCCATTTGGGAGCCTTTTAGGTCAGTCCGGGTATTCACCGCTGCCATTTTCTGCGGGTTTGCCAGCTCCCACGCTCCACCTTGTACGGCCGTAAGGGCTGAAGGTGGCCGCAAGGGAGCCAAGCCCCAGGGCTCCCATATCAGTCAATTTGCAGCGACAGATCGAAGCGTTTATAGGCTTGCCCCTGGCTGAGCGTTAGAACCACCGGTGGACCTCTGTAAAAATGCCGATTCCCGGGCACCACCCCAGGTGGCCGAAAGCGAAGGCCTGGGAGGCGGGGCCTGAGCAATTACCTATTTCCTTAAAAGGAGTCTAAATGATTCTAATGTACAGCCAAGTTTACGAAGTTGTGGGATTCAGGACTAGTCCAAGGCAGTAAGATTTTTAAGCCAAGACAATGAAGAATACTGTAGTATCCTGCAGGTCCTTGTGAAAATGCCCTTTACAGCTGATGCCTGCCGATCTTGAGCGTGTTAGGTACGTGTGTTGCCCTTTGGCTTTTCGTTCTGGACTAGCTGGTTTCTGTAAAGGCTTCCTTAATCTTAACTTAGAGTCTTTAGGATAGATAGGTCTCCAGGCTACTAAAACTGAACATTGACAACACGAGTATTGCAGATTGAATACGCTAAATACCGCAGTGTTACGTGTGGTACCATCTTTGGGTGGTAAATTGCAATAGTAATTTTAATTTTCATTTTTTTGCATTTCTTTCTATATTTTTCTCATAATGAACCTATTAAATTTTCTTAAACATTGAAATTATAGTTTGTCTTACCTTTCAGCGAATTGTGATCTCACTGCAGGTTTGTTTTCCAGTTTTATCATTTCTGCCCTTTTATCCTTCTCAAACTTTTTATTTTTTCTGGTGGTTCTTTCTAATGGATCAATTAGTTTGCTCTCATATATTCTAAAACGAGGAAGTTGAATTTTCTCTAGTGTCCTTCCAGTAGTAAATTATCTGGGATGGTTTTGGGGGGTGACCAGAGTAATGAAGAACTAGTTGGGTGGAAAGGGGAAATCTTTTTCTGACTGGTATTTTTTTAAATTAAGGCATAAGTTGAAAATACAGTGAAAAGGAAAAGTATGAGAGAAACTGACTAAAATATGAACAATTAGGGATTCACTTTCTAAAATGATTCAACTGGCTATCACTGCTTTTAGAATTAAAAGGAGTTTAATTCTACTTTTCTGGGATTAACTCTGGGTCAAGAATTGGATAAATGGTGTTATTTATTGAACATCAAGCTCTTCCAAGCATTTTGTTTTTCACAATTCATTTTTTCTCCCCTCCACCCTCAGATATGAAGCATCGACAAATGAATTGATTAATGAAGACTTGGGAATAGCCTATCCAATTATTGATGGGATTCCTAATATGATACCACAGGCAGCTAGGATGACACATCAAAGTAAGAAGCAAGAAGATACGGAGCAGCAATAAATCATAATTAAAAACCACATACACAACAAAATTTTCTTAATACTATCTACCTTTTTAAAAAAGTCAGGGTGGCAGGTAATAAGTGGGAGAGAAGAATGTTTCTGTCTCTCCCTACGTTGACTGTCCTTATTCCACTGGTCTCTTTAGCAGGATTGTTCTACTCGGCCTCTGTGGAAGAAAACTTCCCACAGGGCTGCACGAGCACAGCCAGCCTGTGCTTTTACAGCCTGCTCTTGCCCATTACCATACCAGTGTATGTGTTCTTCCACCTTTGGACTTGGATGGGTATTAAACTCTTCAGGCATAATTAATGCAATCAGAGCCTAGATGGCATCTACATTAATAAGTCTTGAACACCTCTCCCTGAAAGCTCAATTGCATGGAAATACTGGAAACCCACTTAATTTTCAGGAAAGATGCTACACTTTGTTTTTGCTAGAGGTTTAGAGCTGTGGGAGGTTTAAGCTTCTTTTTATTATATTTTGGTTCTACCCTTATTTTTGAAGGTTCTAATTTATAACTGCTGTATCAGAAGCAACATTTCAACACAGTGGCTTGTTGGAAATGAACAACCCCAACCATCATCTGATGACTTTATTTCTCTTGCCTTTCATCTAAAAGTTAATAATTTGAAATTTAATGTTTGTTTTAGAACGTCTTTGGTAAAGTCACGTTACAGATAACTGAAATAATTCCAGAGGACCTATGTTGGAGTAGTTGTAAAGACATGCACTTGAACTAGTGTGATATAAAACTAATAAAATGGAAATTTCATGGACTTGCAAAAATTCTGAGTTTGTAAAATTACCTTCATTTCTTTGGTATCAAATGCTCACATTAATTACAATAATACAAGGTGTTGACACTTTTCTGTAAAACATTTTGCAGGATTTTGATTTTGGTTTTTGATCATAAGAGTGTGGTTCTAAGGAGGGAACATGTAAAAATATTCTACATTTTAAAGTGTATGCTATTTTTAGAGAGGCACTTAATACCCAGTTAGAGTACTGTATTTTGCCACCTGTAATGAGCTCTGGTGTATAACACATACCCACGTTGTTGGCCTAAACTCTCAGGAGAAAAATCTTGTTTTAATTTTTTATTTATATTTAGAAACAAAAACTGATCATCATATTCCAGGATATTATTTTGTATATGGATACCATTACTGCTTTCTAGAGTTACACTTAACACATAAGCATAAATAAAAGAAAAATATTTATATAGATATGGAATTAGTAAGACCCATGTATAATGTGCATCCTTATTTTTCCCTCAAATTTGGGGGGAAAAGTGCATATTATATATGGCAAAATACAGTAGTTTCCCAGGAAAGGACCTTTGGGGGTAGAGGTGGGGTGTTAGAAGTCTTGCTGATTGTGTCCTGAGCGAATATGTTTTGAACCACATTTCAGTTTATTTTCCTGCCTTAGGAGACCAGTTTAGCACTACTAAGGACATGCGCATTTGGCATACTAATAGTTCACAATTTTCCAGAACCTTCAACAAGACTGAGGTGAATGTAACTTTCAGAGGTATAACAATATTTTAGTAGTTACTTAACTAAAACTTGAAGGTACTAAACTTGTAATTCTTACTAGTATCTTAAAGTAGTTTAACAGAAGCTTTAGAAAGATCCCTATCAAAAAATTAGAACATGATGTTAAATGTATTTTGAATTGCATTAATTTTATATTGCAGTACAAATCACATTTTTAAAATTTATGGCAAAAATTATAAACAATCTAGAAGACTCCAGAGGTCCCTATCATTTCCTGAAATTACTCTTTTTAATTTACCCAAAATCTCCCTGTGGTCAGTGTCAATGAAACAATTTTGCTGATAAAACATTGTATTCTAAAAAGTCTATTTGAAGCTTCTGCAAGTTCAGCATTTTATCAGAGGAAATTACAAGTATACCCCTGGGAGAATTCAGTATTAACCCCATCATCTCACAGAATTCATTTAGCAATCACATAGTACAAACTGTACACTACGTAGTTTTAAGCATATTACACATAATTGTACAACCTAAGGGGTAGGGTAGGTAGTAGCACCATTTTACAGAGGTGGGAACTGAAGTGCAAAGAGATGAGTGAGTTACCCAGGGTAACAGCAGTAATTGGGCTGAAATTGAAACCATATGGCAATGTGGCTTCAATCTAGCTCCTAATCACTGTACAGTGAGAAAATTAATCTTTTATAAGAGAAACAATTAGGAATCGAAATTCTTGGATTCATATTCAAGGCTGATGCCCGTAGTGTTTTCCTAAAACACTTAACTGTTTTACCTCTTTTCTAGCACTTTGTACTGTAATGGCCATTTTCCCTCTCTTGTCTAATAAGACAGTAAATTTCAACATTTTTTGTGTAGTGCTTAGCACAGAGCAGGCAATAAGCCTGAAACTTCCTGAAATAGTGTACACATGGCTCTGACAAGCCTTATAATTTTAGGCAAGTTAGTTAATATCTCTGAGCCTCATCTTCAGGGCTAGAAATCCTCTGCTGCTTTTATGCAATTGTGGAGAACAAATTAAATTACATGTGAAAGCACTATAAAAAACTAAGCAATACTGACTACTGAAATGGCAGCAACAAGGAACTCTGCAGACCAATTTCCCAGTGAAACAATTGGTGAAAATTATAAACAAAACAACCATGTACAGTGTCTGGAAATTGTACTAAGGGCATACAGCCAAATGAGGGAACAAAATCTAAAACTTGGTAAGTAAGCAGTTTGTGGCGTTTGAACCACCACTCGTCCTTCCACCTCCTTTCAGCTCAGAGTGATAGACACTCCAGGAGGCTGCAGCCAAGAATACAGGGCTCCCTCTTCCCCCATCTGTCGCATCGCTAAGCCGCTAGATGGGGCGCGCCGCAGAGAGCGCGGCGCTTCCTGAACCTGAGGGAAACCGCCTGGGGCCGGCTGAGGTGGGAGCAGGGCTCTGAGTCCCACAGAGCCCTGCCCGGGATTGTCAAGGATGACGGGGATAAACACAAAACATTGCAAACACTTCTCTGTTTGCCGGGAGATCCGATCGGGGCACTTCCCTCTCCCTGGAGAAGGTTGTGTACATCCCTCCAGTGGAGAAGGCCCTGTCGCCCTTTGTTCCAAGGTTTTTATTGAAAAACTTAACAGTGGGGCTAGGTAACAGGAATGCATATGTAATCTCGTAACAGTGTGTTAAGTTTCATAGAGAATATATGCTTTTAAGAACACAAGTGACAGGAATACACTGATTTACATGGGTCTAAGAGGAGACTCCGAGAGGAGTTTAAACAAAAGAGAATGAAGATAAGGGCAAGCGCCTTAATGATAAAGGGTAAGGGGTGTAAATAATGTGAACGTCCTTCATAGCATGAGCTGGCCAGAGATCTGAGGAAAGAACAAAGCACACTTTAAATAAATTACTTTTAGTCCTGATTTCCCTGGCAACCGCCAGACCTATTTAGAGCTGACTCCTGCATTGTTTTCAAGCCCAAGCCAGGTGTGGGGAGGGAACCACCAAGTGATAAAGAGACTGCTTCTCGGCAGCAACGTGGATTCCGGCCGTGTCCTAGCCAAGTTGAGAGGTGTGGGGGGGCCTTCTGCCCCTTCTCCGTGTCCCCTAATATTAACTTATCTGCTGCCTATATCGATTGATGCCTGGCTTAGGTTGCCCCTCCCCCGAGGGGCCTTACCCGTCCTTGGCAGGGACCATCACAAGGCAAAGCAGAGAGGCAGGGGCTAGGCCCCTGCGGGGGCAGGGACAGGTCATGTCTCCTCGGGAGCCTGTTTGTCCAAGGCCTCCTGATTACTTCCAACCTTGGGGCCCTCCAGCCTGTTGGCGGGGTTACAGCTCCTGAAACCAGGCCGGGCGTTTCCCAACACCCATCTCCTAGTTGAGGGTTATATATCTTTTCAGGAGGTGCAGGCCACTAGCAGAGTAAAGGAAATTGTGTGATTATAAAAATAAATATTTCCTCTTTTTCTGAATTGATTTGTAGAGCAACTATATAAAACTATATAAAAAATGTTTTTGGGGGTCTATATCATGCTGCCATTAACAGCACAAAGGAAGTGGTTGGGAGCAAAGCAGTAGTACTGGAGTAAGGAAATTACACCAGATGGTAAATTTGAATTCACAGGAATACATGAACCAGAAAAGGTTCACAAAATTAATATAATTATGCTACAAATATATACTTGTTCCCCTTATCTCAGTTTAAGAGGCATTAATCAAAGTAGTAATTATAACAAAGTATTGTTGGGCAGTAACATGTAGGTGAAATAGGCATGACAACAGCACAAAAAGGGGGGGAACGACCTAGAAGTAATGTTCCTGGTATCTCACTGGCACTCTTAATAGATCTGCAGTTTTAAAAATTTCTCAGGCCCTCAAACACTGCTGGTGAGAATATAAAATGCTACAGCTTCTTTTGTAAACAGCTGGTAGTCCCCCCCAAAAGTTAAAGAGTTAGGATATAACCCAGAAATTTCTCTCCTAAGTATATGATACTCAAGGAAAATTGAGTCCACACGAAAATTTGTTCACAGCAGCAGCATTAATAGGAGCCAAAAACAAGCAAATTGTCCAAATGATGAATGGATAAGTAAAATGTTGCATAAGTACAAGAAATATTATTTGGCAAAATATAAGATTCAAGTACTGATACATGCTACAACATAGATGAGTCTTGAAAATATACTAAGTGAAAGAAGCAAGTTATAGAAAAATCACAATGTTTTAAAATCATTTACATGAAATGCATAACAGGCAAATCTATAGAAACGAAGTAGGTTTGTTGCATAGGCCTGGGGGTGAAGGAGAGATTGTATTATGGCAGAAGCAGCACAGGGTCTTTGGGGAGGTGAAAATGTTCTAAAATTGTGGCAATCGTGGCACAGTTCTGTGAGTATACTAAATCCAGAGTTGTATACTTTTCAGCTGAATTACATGCTACGTGAATTATATATCAATAAAGCTGTTACCATCCCCTCCCCAAAAGAAAAAGCTATCTAAATGTCCAGAGTACGGCACAGCAGTGGTCCTAAGCTACTTGCTGGAAGTCAAATGCTGGTTAGAAGCATGGCCGAAAGTGGAATTACTTCTTACGGCTTCTAAATTTTGTCTACCATGATGTGTTACTTGTAGTGACTCTCAAAGATAACACCCTTTCTGAAAATTCTCCACGTTTTCAGTGATCTGAGCTGAGTTCCTCACTAGAAAATCATTCTGGCTTACCATTAATGGGGACTCTTCTTCACTAGCTTCCCATTATATAGTTTGTGCCATACACACATTGACCTCACTATAAACCAACCACAGAAATACTCTTTATTCTTTCACCGATGGTGACTCTTCCCCATTTCTCCACCCCAGTCATTAGCTGACTTCACAAAGGGGACCTCTTGATTTCTTAGAGCCTTTTAACAAGATTTATCTTCCTTAGTGTCCTTATCTGCCATCACTGACAGAGATGATCTTTTATCACTTCATAAGTAACACCCTTCCTATCCGCTTTCTAACTGACAATTTCCCACTCTGAGGGAGCAAAATATGATTTGTCACGATCTACTCTCCCTCTTCATTTTCTTACAATCCTGCAAAGTGGGCTTTTAAGGAAGACACTTTGAACTTCAAGCTCTGCATCTGTAAGATGAAAAGGATACCTACTTCCAGACCTGATAGAAGTTTTAAGTGAGGTAGAAAAAATAAAATCACTTAGCATAGCCAAGAAATATACTGGATTCTTACTAAAATGTGCAGTTGTGGGAAGAGCCTGTCCATTTCCAAGTTTTGTCCCTTTTAAGTGAAATGCGATGGGAACGGCTACCTTCACACGTGCCACTAGGTGGCACTCCTGGCTAACTGATGGAAGCCCTGACACCTATACACACTCAAGACTATACATACATGCAAAATGCTGTTAGGTAGCCATATTCCATAATCACTTATTAACTCACTTGCCTGGCATCTAAAAATCATCGTAGTTGAAGTGAATCCCAAGAAACAAGTGGGGATAACTTGGGACGGGGCGGGGTGGGGGGGTTGGAATTGAAGACAAAATGTGAAGGATAGGGGCAGGATGAGAAGAGGGTTCCAGGCAGGAGAAAAAGCACTGTGTGAAAAACAGAGACTCGCCCATTCTGGACACTCAGACAAGTTACAAATGACTAGAATGAACCATGCTAGGTGTGCAGGGCAGTGGTTGGAGACAGGGCTGACGCTTACAGGGGAACGTCAGGAAGGATTTGTAGGTGGTCTTCAATTGCCCAACTTTTCAAATCATTTAATTTGTGCAGCTGATAATCATGATGGCTCCTCTTTCCAGGAAAACAGAAGAAAACACATTCAAAATTACAGGGGTTTGTATGTTATGAACTCCTGTGGTGTTGAGTCTTCACATTTGCTTCCTAGTACAGTAGCTATCAGTCATATGTAGTTACTGAGCACTTGAAATGTGGCTAGTGTGACTGAGAAACTGAATTTTAAATTTTATTTAATTTTCATTAAAAAGCTACATACTGAACAGCATAGCTCTAAACTGCTTTTCCCCACTACTGTCAATGAACCTTACGTACACAAGGGTCCACCTATTGCACGGTGTTAATATGGAAGATTTCCAGCCTCACAGAATGTCCTAATGGAGAACATTGGTCTAAATACAAGACCATCTGAGACATGGTCTTGGACAAATGATGACAGCTTGTACAGTAATGACAGATGTAGAACAAGAATTGTTAGGACATGACTGATTATTAAATGTAGGGTGATGAAGAGGGAGGAAAGGAAGATGATTGTAGGCTTGTCTGGAGATATTGGTGGTACCACCCCAAATTGTGGAATACAGGAAAAACAGTAATTCTCTCCTCAAACATATCGAGACTAAGGAGCCAAGGGGCATGTAGGAAGAGGCACAGGCTACAGAGAAAAATGGCTGTGGTGCTAGAGTGTTATCAGTTCCTGTAGGTCCGAGAGAGATCTGAGTATCATCAGCATGGAAATAATAACTGAAGCCATGAGGCTGGTAATAAGGAGTATATGGAAAGTGAGAAAACAGGACCACATCAGCATTTCGGTTCGGGGGAGTGTAAGAAAACATCCAAAAGAGATGAGAAAGAAGCTGAGAAAATGAAAGCCACAGTCTAGCAGTTCATTACAGTTCTGAGGAGAAAGTAGTAAACTGTTTCAAATGCAACAGATACGATTAAAGATGGAAATAGGCAAATTTCCACTGAAACTTGCAACAGGGAAATCACCTGTGACTTATTACAGCAGTTTGAGTGGGAGATATACCACTTCAGTCCAGAACAAACTACCAAAATGTTTATGAGAAAAATAAACTTCTGTCTTATTTAATGAACTGTGTTTTGGGGTTGCCTTTTGTTTTAACAGACTAATTTATATTATAACTAATAGATCTTACATGCAAAAACAGCAATTCTAAGGAAATCAAACCAGGTAAACATACTATATAGTCAGCAAGACTTTTATGTTAACAAATCTGAGTTAATTTTATTTTTGAAAACATTTCCAGAAAGCAGTACAGTGTGAGGTAGGGTCAGCCAAATCCTCTGCTGTTGTTGATGGCTACCTGAAGCGCTTCTTCCACTCTTTCCATCGTAGAGTATTTCGGGAGGTAGAGGGTACCAAAACATGTCTGTGCTTTCATGGGATCTTTCTCATTCATACACTCGGGACAGCAAAATGTTATTGCCATGTTCTTTAAACCTTTTACTTGGATTCTGTCAGTTCCTGTAAGAAATACTAAAAAGCATAATAAAATGAAGCGATCTTCACAAATCAGTGACATTTATCAAGAGAAAATATTTTATTCTAACATTTCTTGAGGGCCCATTTAGAGTCTGACATTACACTGCACTGGGGACCATATTAGAACTAAGTTTGACACACAGTCACTGCCTTCAAGCGGCTTACAGACTGGTTGAGAGTATTAGATTCTTGTGCAGAAAAAGACAAAAACAAGGGAAAAAATAAAAGGGTGTAAGGCAGCCAAACAAGGTATCATAGAACTAAGTGCCTCTGAGTATAAAGGCTGTGGGGTTTACAGCAGGGAGAGAAAATCAGGGATGACTGGGGTGACTTCTGAGAATTTGGAATTAAGCTGGACATCTTAGGAAGGAAAGGGTTAGAGAGGCAAAGGAAGTGGGTGAAGGTTCAAGGCAGGGCAAGGAGCTTCTGGGAAAGCCTGGAAGCGAGAGGGTGCAAAGAACCACAGGACCTGGGTAACTGAATGCTGACACAGCTACAGATGAAGAAAAGAAAAATTTTAAAGCAACAGGCAGGGTTGAACTCACTAGAGAAAAGACCTCTATTAACATTTATTTTTTGGAAGAAACAAGAATTCAAAAAAATGAGAGGCTTAGGAATCTCTGGGACAACTTTATATGTTCGAATATCCAAATCATAAGGGTGCCAGAAGAAGAGGAAGAGCAAGAAATTGAAAACTTATTTGAAAAAACAATGAAGGGGAACTTCCCCAAGCTGGCAAAGGAATTAGACTTCCAGGAGATCCAGGAAGCTCAGAGTGTCCCAAAGAAGTTGGACCCAAGGAAGCACACACCAAGGCACATCATAATTAAGTTACCCAAGATTAAAGATAAGGAGATAATCTTAAAAGCAGCAAGAGAAAAGGAGGCAGTAACCTATAAAGAAGTTCCCATAAGACTCTCAGCTGATTTCTAAAAAAAGAAACTTGCAGGTGAGAAGGGGCTGGCAAGAAGTATTCAAAGTCATGAAAACCAAGGACCTACTACATCCAAGATCACTCTATCCAGCAAAGCTATCATTTACAATGGAAGGGCAGACAAAGTACTTCCCACACAAGGTAAAGCTAAAGGAGTTCATCATCACCAAGCCCTTATTATATGAAATGTTAAAGGGACTTATCTAAGAAAAAGAAGATCAAAAACTACAAACAGTAAAAGAATCAGGATAGCGGAGGAGTGAGTACCTCCTCCCAGGACCAATCAGGAATTACAACTAAATTGTGGAGAAATCACCTGGAAAAAAACAACTGAACAATAGTGAGAGAGGAGCCTTATAACCTTGGACAGACAGAAGAATCAGCTTAGCACAATCTAACTGGTAAGGAGTGCAGTAGAGACTCGAGAAGGCAGGCGGAGTGCCCATGGGTTGCAGCACCAGAAGGATACTGAAATGGCCAGTTGGATCCCCCTGATACGAGTAAGGCCTAAGCCATAAGTGGGGATCGCCAGCCTACGGCACCAGAGCCCAAAATGTACACAGATAAGGGCCAGCTGTGAAAGCGGCAGGGTTGCTCTCTGCCAGAAAAGTGGGTCAAGATGCAAACAGCCATTTAAAGGGCCAACACATAAATTTTTATTTGCAGCCACTTGCTCTGGTCTCCGGCAAAGGAGGGGGCAGACTGGGCTAGAGACCGCTGAGGAAAGACTGGGGAAGGAGGCTTTGGGGAGAGAACGGAGAGAGTAGCCAGCGGGATCCCAGTGCTGACCTCTCCCCAAAATGGCAGCAGCCATCTTGCTCAGGCAGACCACTCCCCCAAGCGGCAACAACAAGAGAGGTCCTAATAACCCCACCTCCACGAAGGACTCAGCCCCGCCCTGGGGTGTCTAAGCTGGCCTGCTGAGTGCAGAGTGACTAGATTAACAGCTGAAGGAGACTGCCACAGACAGTAGATACCCAGAAGTCTCAAAGAGACTGCCTAAAGTTAGAAAGGGTCAATATCTGACATCATCAGAGGCAGATCTAGAAAGGAAAAAAACAGTGCTCCAGAGAAGTTCATACCACAAAGTCAGGAAATCAAGACAGATCAATTTAAAGAGAAGCAGCAACCAAGAAGAGTTTCACAAATAATGGGAAGACAAAGAAGCACCCCCCAGTTGAAGGGAAAGGAGGAATCCCCAGAGAGAGAACTAAATGAAATAGAGCCAAGTAAACTATCAGATATTGAGTTCCAAACGACGGTTCTAAGGAAGCTCAATGAGCTCAGTGAGCTCAGAGAGAATTAGAAAATACTACAGGGCAACTACCAGGAAATTACTGCAAACTATATCAGCATGAAAAAGGACATGGGAACTATCAATAAGAGGCAAGAGGAAATGAAAAATACCATTTCTGAAGTGAAGAACACAGCGGAAGGAAGCAAAAGCAGGCTAGATGAAGCAGAGGATTGAATCAGTGAGCTGGAGGACAAGGTAGAAAAAAGCTCCCAGAAAGTGCAAGAAAATGAAAAAAGCCTCAAAAAGAATGAAGAGGCGTTGAGGAAAATGCAGGACAACCTGGAATGTAATAATAGCTGTATAATAGGGATACCAGAAGAAGAAGATGAGGAAGGGATAGAGAACCTGTTTGAAAAAGTAGTGATGGAAAACTTCCCTAATTGGAGGAGAGAAAAAGACACACAAGTCCAGGAAGCGCAGAGGGTCCCCCATTCAAGAGGAACCCAATGAAGCCCACTCCAAGACACAGCATAATTAAAATGGCAAATTACCAAGACAGACAGAGAATCCTAAAGGAAGCAGGGGAGAAACAGGTAGTAACATATAAGGGAGCCCTGGTATAGCTAGCAGCTGACTTGTCAACAGAAACACTGCAAGCCAGAAGGGAATGGCAAGAAATATCCCAAGTCATGAAAAGCAAAGGCCTGTAACCAAGGCTGCTCTACCCAGCAAGGCTCTCAATTAAAATGGAAGGTGAAATAAGGAGTTTCCCAGACAAAAGAAGTCTAAAAGAATACACATCCACCAAACCAGCACTGCAAAACATGCTTGAAGGGACTGCTTTAAGAAGATGAAGAAAAAGAGTCTATTAATATCCAGTTTGTTCACAGTTACCAAAACTTGATATTACCAAGATTTTTAATACTTATTAATCTGATTGTGACAATGATGTGCTATTTTAATTGTTCCTTTATTATCTGTTGAAACTAAACCTGTTTTTGTATATTTATTGCCTATTTCTATTATTTTTAAAAAGCTTTAAATGAATTTTTGGTATTTGTTATCCATTTTTTGACTAAACGTTTATAGAATTTTTTCCCTCAAAAAAAAAAACCCCACTATTTACCCTTTCTTAGATGTGTGGCAAATACTTTCCTATTCTATTACTTGTCCTTTAACTTCTTTATATGTATATTATTATGTAGTCTTAAATGTTTAATATAGTCATATTGTCAATATTTTACTTTATAGCTTCTGGGTTTGAAAATATTACTTCAGGGTAAGAAAAATACTAGTTTGTATTTCCTCCTAAAACTTCTTAGAGTTTACATATTGATTTTTAACTTACCTGAATAGTTTTTGTGTAATGTGTGAAATAGGGCTCTGTATTTTTTTTATTTCAGGTAATAGTGGTCTATGTGCCTTACTTGTTGAATAAGCCTTATTTTCCCCGTTGATTTGAAATATCAATTTAATCATATATTACATTGTTAGACAGATATATACATTTGTTCCTAGAATGTTCATTTTATTTCATTGATCTACTTGATAGTTTCTGTGCTGGTGTCATGTTGTTTTAATTGCTGAGACTTTATAATGGATTTAATTTTTTTAATATTTTGTCATGAATTTTGACATTAAAAATAAATAAATAAAATCTGCATTAAAAAAAAAAAAAGAAGGAACTCCTACCTTTTGGGACAACATGGATGGAACTGGAGAATATTATGCTAAGTGAAATAAGCCAGTCGGTGAAAGATAAATACCATATGATCTCATTTGTAAATGAAATCTATTCAACAAAATAAACCACAGACATGGAAACATGGAGCTGACTGAAAGTGACCAGAGGGGATGGGGAAAGAGGACAATGGTGGAAAGGAGAAGGGACTAAACAAAGAACATGTATAATGACCCATGGAAATGGACAACAGAGTGGGAATTGACTGTGGGAGAAGGGGGCGGGGTGGGATGGGGAGAGGAGGGCAAAGGGGGAAAAACTGAGGCAACTATAATAGAATAAACATGATTTAAAAATAAAAAATAAAAAAATAGTGGGAAAATCCTATCGCAGTGCCTTGCACATAAAAGATACTCAGTACATGTTATCTTAGCCTGCAAATTATGAAACATATGCATTTGCATTGAGTTTAATATACAAAATATACTTACCAATCTTTGGGTCTAAAACAAACAAAGAATAAAAAAACCAAAAAATTATGAACAGTAAAACAGAGGGGCGGGGAAGGGGGAAGAATGGGGGAAAGGGTACAGGGAATAAGCAGCATAAATGGTACAAAATAGGGGAGGTTAGGAATAGTTCAGGAAATGAACTTACATGTACAACCCATGGACATGAACGAAAGGGGGGGGGTGTGGGGGCAATGTTGGGGGGTGAGGTGGTGCAGTGTGGAGGGGAATAAAGGGGAGAAAAAATGGGACAACTGTAATAGCATAATCAATAAAATATATATTTTAAAAAAAATTTATTGTTTGATGTTGTGACCACTGGGCAGAGAGGACATTCAACTGTACTATGAGTGGCTGCTATACTAAGTATGACTTATTGCCAATGGTGCCCAAGACAAACGTGATTTTCTTATTACATGAAAAGAACATGAGATTATAGATCTATTCCTGATGTAATACTTACCAAGAAATTTCTTCTTTTCTTCCAAGGTCAATTTGTGTAAAGCCTTCCAAAACATGACTATGGTGGGATGCGAACTGTCATCATATCCTGGTCCACAACGTGCATTCTATAGAAAAATGCAAAGAAGAAAAAGTATTCAGGAAACAGAAAAGAAATTTAAATTCAGACTACGTGGCCTTCATTGATAACGTACCTTTTCAAATGTTTCCCAGTCATAATCTGTATTTCCGATAATCACATTCTTCAGTTCTTCAGGATGGAAAATTTCAATAATCTCCTTGTCACATATTTTGTAAAATCCTCTTTGAAATTCATCATAAACTGCCTTTACGGAGATATTGAAGATGTAATCAACATATCTAGAAGCATAGTCTGTCCTTTAATGAAACAAAAAATGATTTCAGCTTACTGAAATACCCTGAACAAAATGGGAGGAAGGGTAGAAAAGAGGAGTCTAAATAGAAGGGCTACACTTAACAACTGAGTACTTACCATGTGCCATTGACTATTATAGGTATTTTTCATACATTATCTAATTTAATATTCAAAAAACTCTTTGAGGCAGATTATGACATTTTAGTGAGAAGGAAACTCACTAAACACAGCAAAGTTACATTATTGCTCAGGATCACAGAGTTAAGAGAAGTGACATAGGTTAGAATAGAAAGTTTGGAAATCCAAGATGGCAGAAGAGTACATGAAAGCTAACCTTCTCCCAGGAGCAATCTGTAATTAAAACAAAACTGTAGAGAAATCAACCAGAATAAACAGCTGAACACTAGCTGGAAAGAAGCTTTATAATCAGGGACAAACAGAAGAACCTCTTCACCACAATGAGACTGTCCAAACAGAGGGAGCCACAAGTTGTCGATTGCTGAGAGCTCCAAACGGGTTGACCAGGGCCAGTCACCAGCAGCCTCTCACATAGGTCTACGCCAATCTTTGCAGATCTACCAAATACACAGAATCAAATATAAAGAAACAGCCAAAATGGGAAGACAAAGAAACGGACGCCAAATGAAAGATTAAGAGAATTCTCCAGAAAAGCTACATGAAACGGAGGCAGGCCATTTAACAGATAGAGAGTTTAAAGTAATAATTATAATGATACTCAACAGCATGAAAAATGACATAGAAACCATAAAAAAAGGACCAGTCGGAAATAAAGAATGTAGTATCTGAAGTAAATAATACCCCGAAAGGAATAAACAGTAGGTTAGATGAAGCAGAGGATCAAAACAGCGATTTGGAAGACAAAGTAGAAAAAAAGCACCCAGGCCGAGCAGCAAAAAGAAAAAAGAATTTTAAAAAATGAGGAGAGCTTAATAAACATTTTGGACAACATAAAGCATAACAACAGCATCATGGAACTACCAGAAGAGGATCAGAGCGAGCAAGGAATTGAGAACCTATTTGAAGAAATAATGCCAGAAAACTTCCTAATCTGGAAGGAAAAAAGACACACAAACCTAGGAAGATCTGAGAGTCCCACACAAATTGGACCCAAAGAGGTCTACACTGAGACATGTCATAATTAAAATGACAAGAGTTAAAGACAAGGAGAGACCCTGAAAAGCTGCAAGAGAAAAGCAGGTAGTTACATAAAAGGGAGCACCAATTAAACTGTCATCTGATTTCTCAACAGAAACATTTCAGGCCAGTAGGGAGCAGTGTAAAATATTCAACGTGATGAAAAGCAAGGACCTATAACCAAGGCTACTTTACCCAGCAAGGCTACCATTTAAAAATTGAAGGAGAAATAAAGGAGTTTGCCAGAAAACAAAAGGCTAAAGGAGTTTGTTAACACCAAACCAGTATTGCAACAAATGTTATAGGGCTTGCTTGAAAAAGAAGAAAAAGAGAAAAAAAGACTAGAGGAAAATAGTCTAACAATGAAAGAGAACTAAATACGTATCTATCAACAGTCACCTTAAACGTGAAGGGCTCAACTGCTCTAACCAAAAAACAAAGGGTAACTGAATGAATAAGAAAACAACACCTGTATATATGCTGCCTCTAAAAGACACATCTCAGATCAAAAGCTACACACAGACTAAAGGTCAAGTGATGGAAAAAGATACTTCATGCAAATGAAAAGGAAGAAAAAACTGGGGCAGCATTATCTGACAAAATAGATGTTAAAACCAAGGCTATAGAAAGAGACAAAAAAGGGCACTACATAATGATAAAGGGAACAATCTAACAAGAGGATAAAACCCTAATAAACATGTACGCACCCAACATAGAAGCACCTAAATATATGAAACAAATCTTGATGGACATAAATGGAGAGACTGACAGTAATACAATCATAGTTAAGAGATTTTAACACCCCACTCCCTTTAACCGACAGATCTTCCAGACAGAAAATCAGCAAGGAGACAGCTGCTTTAAATGACACATTAGATCAAATGGATTTAATTGATATTTTCAGAGCATTTCACCCCAAAGCGGCAGAATATACATACTTTTCAAGTGCACATGGAATCTTTTCTAGTATAGACCATATGTTAGGACACAAAACAAGTCTCAATAAATTTAAGATAGTAACCATATCAAGCATCTTCTCTGACCACAATGCTATGAAACTAGAAATTAATCACAAGAACACTGAAAAACACACAAACATGCAAGCTAAATGAGATGTTATTAAACAAGGAGTCAACAATGAGGACAAGGAAGAAATCAAAAGAAACCTTTAAGCAAATGAAAATGAGGACACAACAATTCAAAATCTGTGAGACACGGGGAAAGCAATCCTAAAAGGGAAGTTCATAGCATTACAGGCCTATCTTAAAAAACAAGAAAAAGCTCCAATAAACACTCTAACTTCACACTTGAAGGTACTTGAAAAACAACAACAAAGTCCAGGGTGAGTACAAGGAAGAAAATAATAAAGATTAGGGCATAAATTAACAAAATAGTGTCTAAAAAAAATGACACAAAACATCAATGAATCCAAGAGCTGGTTCTTAGAAAACAAGACTGACAAACCTTTAACCAGACTCATCAAGAAAAAAACAGAAAGGACCCAAATAAATAAAATCAGAAATGAAAGAAAAATAACAACTGACCCCAAAGAAATATAAAGGATTGTAAGAAAATACGATGAACAACTATATGCCAACAAACTGGACAATCTGGACAAAATGGATAGATTCCTAGAAACGCACAATTTCCAAAACTTGATCATGAAGAATCAAAGACTCTGAATTTCACTGGATTATACCTAGTGAAATTGAAGCAGTAATCAAAAAACTCCCAATAAAAAAAGCCTGGGACCTAATGGCTTCACAAGTGAAGTTTACCAAACATTCCAAGAAGAACTAACACCTTTCCTCCTCAAACTGTTTCATAAAATTCAAGAGGAGGGAATGCTCCAAAACTCATTTTATGAGACCACCATTATCCTAATTCCAAAACCAGATAAAGACACTACAAAGAAAAAAATCTATAGGCCAATATTGCTGATCTACATAGATGCTAAAATCCTCAACAAAATATTAGCAATCCAAATATAGCAATGCATCAAAAAGATCATACACCATACTAAAGTGGGATTTATTCAGGAAATGCAAGGTTGGTATAGCACTTGCAAATCAATAAATGTGATCCACCACATAAACAAAATTAAGGAAAAAAAACGTATGATCATATCAACAGATGCAAGAAAAGATTTGATAAAATCCAACACCATGTATAATAAAAACTCTAAGCAAAGTAGGATTAGAAGGAACATACTTTAACATACAAACCCACTGCCAGCATCATACTCAACGGGCAAAAACCACAAGTGTTCTCCTTAATATCGGGATTGAGACAGGAATGTCCACGTTCACTTCTCTAATTCAACATAGTACTGGAAGTCCTAGCCACAGCAATCAGAAAAGAAGAAATAAAAGGCATCCAAATTGGAAAGAAGTAAAACTATCATTCTTTTGCAGGTGACATGATACTGTACATAGAGAACCCCAAAGATTATACCAAGAAACTACTAGAACTGATAAATGAATCAAATTACCTGGATACAATAACCAGAAATCAGTTGCATTTTTATATGACAATAACTAGCTAACAGAAAGGGAAATTAAGAAAACAATCTCATTCACAATTGCTAGAAAAGAAATAAAATACCTAGGAAGAAACCCAACCAACGATGTAAAAGACCTGTACTTTGAAAATTTTAAGACACTGAAGAAAGAAATCAAAGAAGACAAAGACAAGTGGGAACACATACCGTGTTCATGGTTAGGAAGAATTAACATCATCAGTATGTCCATACTACCCAAAGCAGTCCACAGATTCAACGCAATTCCTATCAATGTTCTAATGACGTATATCACCAAACTAGAACAAAAATTTCAAAAATTTATATGGAACCACAAAAAGCCCCACATATCAACAGGAATCCTGAAAAGAAGAATGAAGTTGGAGGAATCACACTAATATTAAATTATACTATAAGACCATAGTAATCAAAACAGTGTGGTACTTATATAATAACAGGCACATAGATCAACGGAACAGAGTAGAGAGCCCAGAAATAACCCCTATCTTTATAATCAATTAATATTCAACAGAGGAAGCAAGCACGTACAATGGACTAAATATTGTTTGTTCGATAAATGGTGTTGGAAAAATTGAACAGACACATGCAGAAAAATGAAACTAGACCACCTTGTTATACCACACACAAGGGGAAATTCAAAGTGATCAAAGATTTAAATGTTAGGTCCCAATCCATAAAAATCCTAGAAGAAAGCATAGGCAGTAAAATCCCAGACATGTTTACAGCAATATTTTATCGGCTATATCTCACAAGGCAAGGAAACAAAAGATAAAACAAACAAATGGGACTTCATCAAACTAAAAAGTTTTTGCACAGCAAAGGAAAACATCAACCAAATAAAAAGACTACCCCAAGAATGGGAAAACATATTCACTGATACATCTGATAAGGGGTTAATATCCAAAATTTATAAAGAACTTACGAAATTCAACACCAAAACACTGAACAACCCAATTAAAAATGGGCAAAGGACCTGAATAGATACTTCTCCAACAAGAACTCACGGATTGCCAATAGATATATGAAAAGATGCTCAACATGACTAATCATCAGAGAAATGCAAATTAAAACCACAGTGAGATACCATCTTACACCTTTCAGAATGGCTATTATCAAGAAATCAATAAACAAATGCTGACAAGGATGTGGAGAAAGCGGAACCCTTTTGCACTGTTGGTGGGATTGGTGCCACCTCAAAAAATTGGAGATACCTCAAAAAATTAAGAATGGATCTGCCTTTCGTCCCAGAGATTCCACTTCTGGGAATACATCCAAAGGAACCCAAAACACTAATTTGAAAGAACATAAGCAACCACCGTGTTCACTGCAGAGTTATTTACAATTGCCGAGATATGCTAGTAGCCCAAGTGTCCATCAGTAGACGAGTGGATAAAACAACTATGGGATATTCACACAGTGGAATACTACTTGGTTATAAAAAAGAAGAAAATTTTACCCTCTGCGACAGTACAGGTGGACCTGGAGAACATTATGCTAAGTGAAATGGGCCAGTCAGAGAAAGACAAATACCGTATGATTTCACTCATATGTGGAATTTAATGAACAAACTGAACTAACAAGAAAAATGGGAAAAAAAAAAGAAAGAAAATGGGGGCAGACTCATAGATGGAGAGCAGGATGACTGTTGGAGAGGGGTAGGTCAGGGTGTGGAGAGATTGAGCAAAAATGAAAAGGGACTCATGGACACATACAACAGTGTGTTGATTGCTGGGTGGGTGGTATAAGAGGACTAATGGTGATGGAAAAAAACACAATAAAGATTAAATTTTAAAAAACATAATATTTAGAAAAAAATATACTAGTCGCCAAAGATTAGTTTAGTATGGTGCCATTTATATAAAATTTGGGAACATGAATTATAAAAAAAAAAAAATAGAGAAAATTCCTGAAAGCAGCAAGAGGTGACCTCAGAAAATGGTTCACTATTCACTTGACCCAGAAAACCCCACAAAATCATGTAAATCGAGTGGTTCAAATCTTCATTTTCACTTCAAAAACACTCATGAAACTACCCAGGCCATCAAAGGCATGCATATTTGAAAAGCCACCAAGTATCTTCAGGATGTCACTTTACAGAAGTAATGTGTGCCATTCCATCATTATAGTCCTGGAGTTGGTAGGTGTGCCCAGGCACACGGCTGGACACATGGTCACTGGCCCGAAAAGACTGAATTTTTGCTGCATATGCATAAAAATGCAGAGTAATGCTGAACTTAAGGGTTTAGATGTAGTTTCTCTGGTCGCTGAGCACATCCAAATGAATATTGCTCCCAAGATGTAGCACAGAATTTACGGAGCTCACAGAAAGTTAACCCACACGTGAGCTCTCCCTGCCGCGTAGAGATGATCCTACTGAAAAAGAGCAGATTGTCTCTAAACCAGAAGAGGAGGTTGCACAGAAGAAAAAGATATCCCAGAAGAAACTGAAGAAACAAAAACTTATGGCCCTGGAGTAAATTTAGTGTAAAATAAATACTAATTACAAAAAAAAAAGTTTGGAAGAATTAAACCTAACCTGCTAATAGTCACGTCTGGGAAATGGGCTTGGGAGGTGGGGGAAATTTCATATTTTATTTTATATTTTTCTGTATTGTCTGAACTTGTTATATGGAGTAATTAACATTGTTTGTGGTTAACACAATTAAAGAAGGGATTTATACTTCTAGCTATGACAGAGTAGCTTGTAGCAAATGCTCCCAATTAGAAGAACTTAGAAAAGGACAGATGATACACAAAAACACATGTAGTTTCAAGCTTCCAAGTCTGAGCCAAGACTCAAGAGATCTCTGGACTAAAGAGAAAAAGGAAGTTCACTGAGGTGAGCCCAGCATTTTACTTGTAATTTTCCACTTTGGGCACATTTGCCAATTCTTTCAGGGAAAAGGGGCTGAGCAAAAAGTAGGTAGAAGAATCAAAGAACCTTATTATATCCATCAGTAATACCATGGATAAATGGGGTATACTCATAAAATATACTATAGATTTGGAAATGTTCTATTTCTTGATCTGTATTCTTATCATTTGTGCACTTTTCTGTGTTACAATTCAATGCAAATATTTTTAAAGATTAAAAATTAAATAAAAATATTTGGCTTAGGCCAGAATGCTCACTAGATTCTCTTTGCCATTCGGACCAATTCTCAAGGGAACATTCTATAATCCCACACTGTATTCCTTTAAATCCCATAAGGTGCTGGGAAGTGAAGATACCACAGTATCATCTAATAATATTAATGAATACTAAGTGCTGCTATGGACCAGGCACTAGTGTAGACGACTTGAGGTACAGGATACACAGTGGTGAGAAAGAAGACCCATTCCCTGCCATCAGGCAGCTCATCACTGTGGGGGAAACACTGCTAAGGAAATAAGCAAGTAAATCCCAAAGGCAGGTAAAGTGTGATATGAATATAAAAAGTAAAGCAGGGTAAGGGGATAGAGAGAAAAGGTGGTGGTATAATTCTAGATAGGAGGATAAGGGATAGCCTCTATGAAAAAGTCATTTTCTTCCCTACCAGAATATAAACTCCAGACGACATGCACATAATACACAACACATAGCAACTCTCTACCTCATTAAAAAATTAATTGGGAATGAAAAATTATAATAACTACAAGACATTTTTAGAGCTCAGTGAAATATAATGTATAAACAAAACAAATATTTCATTTTTTTACCTACTTGTTAGTCTGGTTGACAATTATGTCACTTCCACCAGGAATTAAGTCTTCATCAATTTTGTCCCAATGCACCTGTAACCATAAACGCACTCAGATGCATCTCTGAAATAATCCTGAACATTCTACCATCAACAAAAACACTGAAGCATACCTACCACTTTTCCTCAATAGGTAAAAATGCACACTTTTTTCACAAAGATTAGCAATGCATGTATAAAAAAATTACCATCTTATAGAGAATGAAAAATGAATTTTTAAAAACTCGAATTATCTTTTTTAAATGATCATACTAAAAAAATTAACTGGAAAATTGCCATATTTCAGTATTTACTTTATATAGTATAGACCTAGTGTGGTGGATCTGCAAAATTGGCCATTAATCCCTCACATCGTGCTATTCATGCCCCTTTGCAATGTGACTCTACAACAACTCCCATCAAGAGGGGAGTCTGTTTCCTTAGCCCTTGAATCTGGCTGTGACCTTGTGAAGCACTCTGGCCAATGGAGTCTGACAGAAGCAAAAACATGAAAAGAAGCTTCTGTGTTGGGGCTTGCCACCTCTTTGTATGCTGAGATCTTCCTGTGAAGAAGCCTCACCTAGCCTGCTGGATGAGAACAGAGACAAGCTGTTCCAGTTGACATCTCATAAGCCAACCAGCCTGTCAATGACCAGGTATGTGGGTTGAGGCCCACTGCAAACCATCCAGCTCAACCAAGTTGGCCTGGTCCAGAAACACACAGAAATGTGTTTGTTGTTTTCAGCCACTAAGTTTAGGTACCGTCTGTTACATAGTAAAATCTAACTGATATGCCTAGCTCATGAAAAATGAGGGGAAAAAACCTTTAGCACTACTAACTTACTTCAGAAGTTTGTTTTTTCATTAAAGGGTGACATATTTAAGTAAATATGTAAAGGGTCAATAAGGATTAAATTTGATTTATAATCTGGTGTTTATTGCTACTCACATTAAAATGGGTATAAAATACTTCTTCAAAGTCAGCACGTTCATAATCCAGAAATGTTTGCATACTCCTAAGGAACAAATTTTGTTTTTTAAAATTCAATAATCATGATTAGTAGATACATCTTAATAACATAAATGTCAAGTGTATGCCCTCTGAAGGCAGGAGGTCAGGTACAGTTCACAGCACCTGCTTCTCCCAGTGTTGACAGCCTTATTAGGGCCACAACTCAACTATCTACAATTGTGAGGTTAGACATTTATTTGCAGTTCTACAGGCTCCCCACCTGATTCCCCCTCTCCTACTACCATAACTGCCTTTACCTAACAATTGTAGGTTTCTATTTAGGAAAAAAATAACATATTTACTAACACTGAAACTCATTTAAACTGGTGTTACCCTTATTTAAGTTTTGGGATTTTTTACTTACAGAACAAATACTAGGTGTTTTTTTAAATAGAAGATATTACTTAGGAAATCTGTGGAGTGGATAGGTCAAAGGGCCTTCTCTTGTCTGTGTCCCAATATTATCAAGCTTAAGACAGGCCTGAAATTTGACTGTCTTGGCATCTGTGAGAACAGAGGTTGTATCAGAATGATAGCAGCTAGTCTTTTTATATTTCCATCTTCTGTCATCCTATGGTACTTTATAAATGCATTTAAAGTAATGTGTTTCATAGTATATAATTTACTCCTACACTCCTTTATTCATTCAACAAATTGGCACCAGGGATGTAAAGCTGAGACTAACTCCTTTCCTGTCAGTAAACCCCTAGACTAGTAGGTAAGGTGGGGAAGGTCTCACCTACAGTACAGTGAGGTAAGTGCTGTTGGACCCTATGTAAATGGTATAGGTATAACTTGGAAGAATTTGGTTTTGGTTAACTCTTTCTGAACGAAAACATGCTGTTGGGAAGGTCTCCCTCTGGGAGATGGTGGAAATCAAGTTGACTCTTTTCCCCACTGGATTTTTAATGTCGGTATTGTGATATAAAACAATCTTTTATCTGTGCTTTCTTTGGCGGGGGTGGGGCGGTGAGGGACAGTAACAGGAACTCAGCTGACAAACTTGGATCCACCATTATCCTTTTATTACATGTCCATACATGGCTTATTTAAAGGTATGCTTATGAAGAACACCTGTGAACCTGCCCCCCCAAAACAAGAACTAAAACATTGCTAATATCTTATACCTACCTATAGGAGAGACCTGCCCTATCCCATTTTTTCAACCCTTCAAAATGTGTTACAAATATTTTCCAGCTGGGCAAGTATCTTTTCTCTTCATTAAGGTCCCTTGATGAACAGAGAACTTCTTTAATCTCATTGCAATTAAATTTACCAATCTTTCCTTTCCTGTTGGTACTTTTTATGTCTTAAGAAATCCAAAAGGTGAGAAAGGTATTTTGTCCATATTTCCATCATTTTTACATTTAATATTTAAGTCCTTTATCCACATGGGTTGGTTTTTGTATATGACATAAGGTATCTGCTCTCATTTTTCCCTAGATGAATTAATTGAATGGTACTTCCTTCCATTCCTAATGAATATATTACTTCTAAAAAAGTCCCACGTGTGCATGGAACTAAGCGAGCTCAGTTTCTGAGCTCTTTCTTCTGTCCCACTGTAAAACGTGCACCAATAACATACTGTCCTAATTAATGCTGCTTTCTAATAATTCTTTTTTTAAAGATTTTTATTTTTTTTATTTAGTTTTACAGAGAGGGGATGGAGGGAGAGAGGGAGGGAAACAGCCAATGTGTGGTTGTCTCTCATATGCCCCCTACCCCCTCTACGGGGGACCTGGCCTGCAACCTAGGTAAGTGCACTGACTGGGAATTGAATCATTAACCCTTTGGTTCACAGGCTGGCGTTCAAGCCACTGAACCACAGCAGCCAGCGTTCAGCTTTCTAATAATTCTTGATATCTGGTAGGCCAAGTACCCCATCTTTATTCATCTTATGAATTATTCCTGGCTATTCTTGGCCATTTGTTCATCGATATAAATTTTATAATCAGCTTGTCAAGTTTTACAGTAAACCTGCTGGGATTAAAACTGTAGTTTTACTGAATGTAGAGATCAGTGCTTCTCAAAGCACTGCCCAGACCCACAAAGGGACTATGTTTACTTACCTTCCCAAAACAGGGCTGAGTTCTTTCAAGTCTTCTAATGATGGTGTTTGGTCCAAAAGTTTCTTAAACAGAGCCAGTGGGAAAGGGATGTCAGCAACATTGGAGTTGAACAGGGAAAGTCCACATAGAATCCCAAAGTAGAAATATCTCTTCTCCTCAAATTTAGGCTGAAAGCAGAAAAAAAAGAATCTTAATATATTACGAATTTTTACCAGTAAAATGGCATATTTATATTAGGTAAACCAGCCTTTTTTCCCCCTTTCACACAATCAAATCGCAAATTAAAACCAAGAAGCTTGAGATAAGAATACTCAGGGTTTATATTCAATCATTAAGTCAACTTAAAAATCCCTGCCACAGTTCTGGTCACTAAAAGCATTAACAGAATAGGGGCTGAGGGAATAGGAGAGATGTTTGCGGGGAAGAACTGCACCATGTAGTAAATAAGTCCTAGAGATCTAATGTACAGCAGTGAATATAAACAACAATATTGAATTATAAACAACAATATTGAATTATAATAATCAAACAGTCTATGAGACTAGATCTTAAGTATTCTAACCACTAAAAAGAAATTATAATTATGTGATGTGACATATTATCGCTTCAATGGCAACCATAATACATAAGCATCAAATCAACATGTACACCTTAAATTTACACAATGATATATGTCATTTATTTCCATAAAAAGATAAATAAATGAAAGCATGAATAGGAATAGAAGCACATTAGGCTCAGTAATCCTTAAAAATTAGTTTTCACAACATCCTTTCATAGCCTTTGTCTTCAAGTTTATCAGGAAAAAATAGAACTGTAACAAAGAATGAGTACCTGAGAGAGGGGTTCATATACATTACCTATACAGTCCATATATTGCTTTATTTCTCCTGTGTGGACATTAGAAACCAGGGAAAGTGGACCCCATTTTAGAAAAAAAATATCATCTTTTTAGAATTAAAATTTATCTCCACAATTATATCATTAATTCTTCTTGTAATATAAAACAGTCTAGACAGCATAATAATCTTTAGTATGTGCCATACCTTTTCTGTCAGGAAATACCATAAGCAAAGAAAAGAAGACTTACTCTAACAGGAAACCACATGTAGGAAGACTCTTCAGGATAAATGAACATCCCATATTCAGGCCGAGTCATCTCTTCAAACAGGCAGTGGAAAAACTCTGCTCTGACTCCTCCAAAGTCATATCCAATTTCTCCACTAAATGAAACCTGAGGAAACAGAGCGCATCACTTCCTAAGCTGTGTATTGCTACATATTAAATCTCAATTAACAGTAAGAGCTAACATCATGGGCCCAAGTATTTGACAGGTGCTATGGTAAGCATCATACTCATATTATCATATTTAATATCCTATTAATTCTATGATGCTTCAAGAATTTAAATAACTTTCCCAAGGTTCTATAACCGCTAAATGGTGCAGCCTAGGTTTAATCCTATGTCTGTGAAACCTCAGAGCCTGAAGTCTTTAACACTAAATTGACCCCAACGGACATCATTGTCATAAGGTATGCTAAGTATAATAAAAATAACCATAAAGAAATCAGAAATACTAAGATTTTTAAAAAAACAAAAAGCCAGAGGACACATAAAGTACTTATGGGCTTGTCTGTTTATTCCTTAAGGGGATGGCACCCATTCCTCCCCAAGATGAAGCTATGGACTCATCTTTTCTTCTACTATTTGCTCTATTCCTGACTTTCCTTCCTGGAATCCTTCACTTTTGTTTACAAATGTGTTTAAGTTCTCCCTTATCCTTAAAAGGGAATAAAAAAAAGAAACCCTCAACACCCTTGTTTCAAAAACAGACACTACTCTAGGTTGCCAAATTTCAGAGAACATTGACACCAACTTCTAAGCCCATTTCTCTACTTAAATGCTTTTCTCCAATGAAACCAAGAACCAGGAATCTCCAATTCCAATAACTTTTTCTGATGTCTCATCTCTTCGACTTTGCTAATTCATTTTACCCTTGTGACCACCTCCTCTTTATTCAAACTCTTTTCTCCCTTGCTTTCTCTTATGAAGCATTATTTAGGTTTTTATTTTTCTCTTCTTTTTCCTGCTCCTTTAATACCAGAAATTCCTTTCTCTATGTTCCTTCCTCATATCCTAATTTTTCTCTTTAAAACTTCATTTTACTACTTGCAGGCATATGACCTGCAGGCATCCACTCATCTTCTCTCCTGATTAACACACACACTCATTTCCAAAATGTCTGCTCCACATTTACATATGGATGTTCCACCAAAAAGCTCCTTTTACTAGTTTATTTGGATGAATGCCTCTTCCACTTTATGGAGATGCAAGTTTCAAACTTTAGTAGAGTATTTAAAATTTTGGTAAGACCAGGTGTTAAACCTGCTCCTCCCTAACAGGCAAGTTACTTAATCTCACAGAGCTTTAGTTTTCCCACAAGATTATCAGAAAGATTAAGTAACACATGCAGAATCCCTTACACAGTTTGGAAAATGGTAACTGCTCATCAAATATTATCTAAATTTAAAAAAATGAATGAATGAAATATAAAAGTGGAACTAAAATAGCTGAGTAGACTGGCTGGAATCACGTGAGTTTGTTAGATTTCTAAAAATTTTTTGTGTGTAAAAATATATGGAAATTCCAACTCTTACTGCAAACTCCATTGCAACATACTTTTAAATAGTATTTTGAGCTTTAGTTAAGTCAATCTTTCTTTAATCCAAGTAGGGTAAGTGATAAACTAGAGCCTTCCATCAAAAACACTCTAAAAATATCAGACAAATCTTTGTCTTAAGTGGAAAGTCTAGGATCTGATAGTTGGGCACAAATCCTGGCTGATGTGTATCAGTTCTATTATCCTTGGATAAGTTACCTAATAGTTTTGTACCTTAGTTTCCCCATTTGTAAAATGAAGGAATAACAGAACCTTCCACAGAGTGCTGTAGGAAGGGTTACACAGGAACATGTAAAGCATTTACAACAGTTTCTGGCACAAGAAAAACATTCGCTAGATCTACCAGTCATTATTATTCTACACTAGTAACTAGTGTAGACACTAGTTAGTAACCATACACTAGGTAAGACAAGTTATATGGTTACTAAACCAAAGATCATTTATAAATCTTCAGAACATAGTAATATCTACAGTTATACCCTCAAAAACTATGTAATCAATAAACAGATATCTCCCTCTCCCACAGACGAATTTGGATTTGGGTCCTGTATTTGAGCAGAAAGAAACCGTCAATTTTCCTCTGCATCAACCCCATTTTACTGGAACCCTTAAAAGGTGGTGACTAACCAGGGTAGGTCAGGCCTCACAAGAGACTGGACCTGCTGGGGTTAGCACGGGACTTTCTACGCAATGATGTTTGGGGCAGTGGTGGGGGACAGAAACATTTCCTACTGCCTCTTGGCCCGAGTGCACTAAGCCTGCACTTATCACCTGAAAGTCACAGGTAACTGGGGAGTCAGGGGAGCTCTAAACCAGACCATCTCGGCAGCAAAGGGAGATCATTTCCCCTCTGTAAAGCCCGTTGTTACATTATTTTATATTTTCCTTCTCTCGGCACGAAATTATTGAAAATTGTACCTTACCAATAACTCGCTCCTTAGATCTTCATTCTCAAATTGATTTAGTTGGTTTAAAACATCTTCAATTAAGTGACTCCTTCTGACTATTATATTAAAGGTGGGCAGCAAAGCTAAACTGGACCCTCCATCTTCCATAATTCCAGTCAACTGTCTATTTTTTTTCCCCTAGGAAAACAGAAATGTTTCACTTCATTTCACCATTTGCTCTAAGTAGGTATTTATAAAGTGGAATAAATTGGTTCAGTTTATTATAAGTGCATGTCACAAACATTTGTAAAAAGAGCCTTTTATACACCAATGGAGATAAGCGACATATTCAGTATTCACCCTCAGTGAGCAGAAGAAACAAGGAATCTAATAAATGGGAGCCAACAAGGTAAGTGAAAAAGTGACCAATGGGAGGCTCCACTGGACCACTTCATCCTATAAATACAATTATTAATACTTCAGTTACCAAAGCTAATTAATCAACAGGCTGAGACTGAATAGTGAACACTGAAACATAGTATTCTCACTCAAAAGAGAAGTTCAGAAGTTTAGGAAAAAGCAGTCTGCATGAAAAGTTCACGTATGAGAGACCTCTCTAAATACCCTAATCTAGGAAGAAAACCCAGACAGCAGATTTTAGGTGACGGATAATGTAAGAAGTTAAGGGGAGAGAGAAAGAGAAAGACAGACAGGCACAGTGAGAAGACAGACAGACACAGAGGCTGTTCACCTGAAACCAACTGGCAATTTGGGATCATAAAAGTCTGTGGCTCTTAGCAAAACAAAGAGAAATCAGTCCTATAAAATTATTACTGGAGGCTTGTTTAAAGTCAGGAGAAAACAGTTAAAAGATGAAGCAAAATGAAATTTCTTGTCTCTTTTTAATTTTCATTTTCCTTTGTTAAATATTTCACTAATGGTCATCTAGAACTCATAAATCAATTTATTTTATGGTAACTGCACTTGTGAAAGCATCTATTTTTATAACACATATTTGACTGTTATTCATACATATACAGGTGCACATATATGAGAGTAAAAGTAATGATATAAGACCTAACACTTTGGGGCATTTACTTTGTGCAAGGCACTGTTTTAAATGTTTCACTTATATTTAAATGTTTTACTTATATTAACAAATTTAATCCATATAAAAAGATAATGAACTACAATATATTTCCCCCAAAGCATTTTAAATTGTCCAATTTTAACTTCAAAAGTCCTTTGCTGGATATGTTGATAAACAGAACCAATTCAGCTGAGAGTTTATTGAAAAGGGATACTTTATTATGATATCATCATAGGCATTCATTTGGGTCCAAATTTCAAGAATCCTCTGTCACCTCTATTCTCACTGCTACCTCTCCTTCACTAGATTGGACCTTCTTAAATGTTAGCGCTGACTCCAATCAAGTGAAAGTCTGCTCTGCGTCTTTGACTGCCATTCAGAAGGCTACAGGCGCCAACCTCAAGGTCAAAGCTCTACAACTAGGTCAGCTGTTACTAGGGCCCTAATGTGCCTCAAGGCCAAGCCAACCCAAATTAGGACTCTTTCTTGCCTTCTTCATTAGAGTACGAGCAATTTGAATGCTACAACAATTAGTTTTACAAATGTGTGGCTCCCTTATCATCCCCAAAACACTGTAGGCTTAAGAAGATATTTATCATTTGATTTGTTAATGAAAACAAATCAGCATACGTACCTGCATTTTTAAATATGAGTCCGCATATAATAGTTTAACTTTGGACAGAATATTAAAGATAAATGGAAAATGACTGAATATGACAGGATACTGGAGGTCTACTGGAGTGTCCTAAAAATGGAAATGAGACCAATTCTGATAAATGAAAGGACAGAGATATTTTACACCTTACCTCATAGCCTTAAACCCCTAATGGTTTAAGGTCTCAATACTTACATCCAACGCAATTCAAATAGTAGGGTAGTACAGAAAATTCTGAGAAAACATTTTGCATGTACCAATGAAAGGTATATAGACTTAGTGTTTTCAGTGCTCATTTAATTTAACAACTAATTGTAAATTCTGGATACGTTCCCAAAGAATCTGTTCTACTGCAGCTCGCACTTCTGAAGTGTGAAGCAGTTCAGACATATGTGGTAAATAGGGGAATGATACAATGTGGTAGCTGGTTAGCTCATACATTTCTGCCAGGCAGGGTTGATGGGCTGGGAGTAGGATTATAAGCTTCAGAAAAAAGGGGAAAACCTTAAGCCAGAAAGCAAGAGCCCTTTAGCTGTCTTTTAAGAACATATAAAAGGAGTGCTTACACACCGGGTACCTCCTCCAAAGTTGCAGCCCATACTGCTGGCTCCTGGCGAGTCACCCTGCCGCCTTCTATGCCCAACTTAAGCAGAGTTCCACTTCCATCTCTGTTATCTCAGTACCACCAGTCCTCTAATTAGAGCCTGGATGGATTTCTACCCTTTTGTTTTTGTCCATTTTCCATATTTGCATGGCACTCCCCACAACTTACTTGTCTGGTAGATCCAAGCTATCTGCCAAAGTAGCACCTGCTTTCCTGTTAGTGCACTGGATACAAAACTGCATGGGTTTTGAGAGGTCTCTCTTGCTTTTCCCATAAGCCCTGTTATTACTATTGGGCAATTTTACAGAGTGCAAAGATATTATGGAAATTCACGTATGGTAGAAAGTTATAGCACAAATCCCTGTGTTAACTTACTGATGATCAAATTCCCCCTTTAAACATGATATACTTACTAAGCTCATTTTCCAACAGGACCTTCTACGTGCATCTTCAAAAAAATCAAGGCAGTGCGTAAGTTCACTTATTTGGAAAATATTTCCAGGCAACTGACATTTAATCTGGTTGACCTTAAATAAAATATAACTTGTAAGAAAGCTTCATATATAAAGACAATTTTGCTTAATGGCTATTAGATCATCAGGATAAATGTAAATTAAACACTCTTAATGACCAGAATAAAGTTCTAACCAATTCCTCTACTGTAAAAACTCCACATTTTCTGGAACATAAAAAATACCTACAGTTATTGGTTATGCTATTACAGTCGTCCTGATTTTTCCCCCTTCGCCCCCCTCCACCCAGCGCTCCCCACTCCCTCAGCAATGCCCCCTTCATTGTTCACGTGCATGGGTCATGCGTATAAATTCTCTGGCTACTCCATTTCCCGTAATGTATTTTACATCCCCATGGTTATTCTGTAACTACTTATTTGTACTTCTTAATCCCCTCACCTCTTTACCCATTTCCCCCATACTCCCCTCCCATCTGGCAACCATCAGAACACTCTGTATCCAAGATTCTGTCTCTGTTCTTGTTTGCTTAGTTTGGTTTTTAGATGCAATTTTTGATAGATTTGTATTTTTTTGCCATTTTATTGCTCATAGTTTTGATCTCCTTTTTCTTAAATAAGTCCCTTTAACATTTCATACAATGATGGTTTGGGATGATGAACTCCTTTAGCTTTTATCTTGTCTGGGAAGCTCTTTTCCTGCCCTTTGATTCTAAATGATAGTTTTGCTGGGTAAAGCAGTCTTGGATGTAGGTCTCTGCTTTTCACGGCTTTGAATATTCGCCAATCCCTTCTAGTCTGAAAACTTTTTCTTTCGGGACATCAGCTGACAGACTTATGGGAACTCCCCTGTAGGTAATTAACTTTCTTTATCTTTAACCTTTGGCATTTTAATTATGCTGTTTCTTGGAGTGGGCCTCTTTGCATTCATCTTGTTTGGGACTCTTTGTGCTTCCTGGACCTATCTGTCTACTTCCTTCACCAAAGTAGAGAAGCTTTCTTTGACTATTTTTTCAAGTAGATTTCCAATTGCTTGCTCTTTCTTTTCTCTTTCTGGCATCGTTATGATGCGAATATTGGGCCTCTTGAAGTTGTCCCTGAAGCTGCTTATACTATCCTCATTTTTGTTTAATTCTTTTTTCTTCCTGTTGCTCTGATTGGCTGTGTTTTGTTTTCTTTTGTTCCATATCATTGATTGGATTCTTGGCTACATCCACTCTACTACTGTTTCCCTCTAAACTGTTCTTCATTTCAATTAGTGTATCCTTTGCTACTGACTGGATCTTTTTTATACTGTTGAGGTCTTCACTAAGTTCCTTGAGCATCCTTATAACCACTGTTTTAGTCTCTGGATCTGATAGATTGCTTATCTCCATTTTGTTTAGCTCTTCTTCTGAGGTTTTGATCTGTCCTTTCATTTGGGCCATGTTTCTTTGTCTCCTCATTTTGGCACCTCCCTGTGTTCACGTCTAAGCATTAGGTAGAGCTTCTTTGACTCCATGTCTCCGTAGTGTGGCCTAATGCAGTAGGTGTCCTGTAGAGTCCAGTGGCATAGCCTCCCCTATCACCCAAGGCGGGTACTTGAGGTGCCCCCTTTGTGTGGGTTGAGTACACCCTCCTCTTGTAGTTGAGCCTTGGTTGCTGTTAGCTGATCAATGGGAGGCATTTACCCAGGCCATTCAGCTGCAAGGATTGGCTGTGACCACTGACCACCAACCTTTGCCCTCTGCGGAGGATCAGCTGTGCAGGGGCAGGATGGTGGTGTTCCCACGTAGTCTGTAACTATTCACTGAGTGTGCTGGCCCTGGGGTTTCCCAGGTGGTGCAGGCCAAGGTCAGCCCCCACCTGTGTTTTGCCTGGGCCCACCGTGCCTGAGCAATAAAGCAATCTGAGATAGCCGCTACTTGTGCTGGGCTTGGAGATTCCCAGATGAAGCCAAGCTATCTATCTAAGCTAGCTGCTGCTAGTGCCAGGTCTGGGGCTCACTGAGGCCAGATGTTGCTTGTTTGATAGGATTTAGGGATTTGTAAAGTGTGAGCCAAGACCTGCCATTCATATGGAAAAGCAGCTTGAGTGGGCCCATATGCTGGGTGGGGCAGAGTCTCTGGGAATCTCCAAGGCATGTCCAACACTGTTAGCCAGGCTGATAGAGTCTCAGATATGGCATCATCTTTCCAGCTCTCTGTGGGGAGGGTTTAGAAAACTGACAATGGCCTCTGCTGGCCTTGAAGCCAGACACTTCAGTTTCTCCCTGTACTCTACTGGTGCCATTTAAGCTTCTATCCCGGTGCCGGAGCTCAGAGGAAGGGAGTCTGAGAAGGTGAGTCCATGTGTGGGTTAAGAGGAAGTGCGTGGGGATCCAACAATTTCTTCCACTGGCTCAATCTCTGCTGGTTTTTGCAGACAGAAGTTTTGGGGACTTATCTTCCTGACACTGGAACCCTGAGCTAAGGGGCATGGTGTGGGGCTGGGACTCCTCACTCCAGAGATGGCTCTCTTCAAATTTTTATCCACCATGCATGGATAAGGGACCAGCCTGTTCCATGCCCCTCCTACCAGTCTGGATGGATGTAGTTTAATTCCATAGTTGTCAGACTTCCATTCAACTGAACTTCTGATGGTTCTGAGTGATGATTCTGTATTTTAGTTGTAATTTTGATGTGGTTGTGTGAAGAGACAAGCCATGTCTACCTATGCTGCCATCTTGATCAGAAGTCCTCCTAGTTACTTTTGAATCATAGAAAAGTTTTGAAGAGCTTTAAGTCCAAAGAAAAATACAGCGCAATACAAATCCAAAGTACTCTCAGGCCCAGTACTGAATGTCATGTTCTTCAGAGCTTAACAGTATATTATTTACAGATGTTTCCTCCAGCAAGGAACACACAGAACTTTCCCTCCTCAATTGTGGAGGGAAAGCCTACCATCCCGAGGTAACCAGGGCTATTATGAAATACATATGAACACTGTGGCATAGTGCAAATCATCAGTTAGTGAAGACACTGATAATGACACTAGATGCTTTAGACATGAGTGACTATCAATATTTTACCTGGATGGTCACAGTATTGGCCTCAATGATTAATTCTGAGGAGACCTTCTAAAAGCCCCTACTTGGCTGTGTAAACTAAGATCATTCATCTGGAATACTCTTACAGATTCTGGTCCACACACCAAATGGTGCAGGCCTCCCAGTACCACCACCTGGAGCATAATGAAGCTCTTTCCCTCTTGTGACTATGCTCCTCTGGACCCTGATGATCTCAGCCTTACAATGTCAATAGTTTCACAATTGCATAGAAACTGCAAAAGAATCTACAGGTAAATCACGAGACATGATATGAAAATTTAGCACGTTCCCTGGCTATAAATTCAATATTCAAAAATCAATGAATTCCTGCAAACCAACGATAATTTTTAAGATACCATTTACAAAATCCTAAATATATCAAATACCTTGAAATAGATTTACTAAACATATCCAAGATTTATGTAGAAAATAACAAAACTTTATTTAAAGACCTTTAAAGACAATCCAGTAAGTGAAAGAAATGGACATCATGAAGATTCACAGTAGAAAAGATGTGAATTCTCCCCAAATTGAAACACAGATTCAATGCAACTCCAAATTCTTAGCAAGATATTGTGTGTGTGTGTGTGTGTGTGTCTGTGTGTGTGTGTAAGAGAGAGAGAGAGAGAGAGAGAGGGAGAGGGAGGGTGGGGGGGGAGAGAGAGAGATCTGAGAAGCCAATACTAAAATCTGTATAGAAGAACCAAGTGCCAAAAATTCCCAAGATAAGCTTCAAGAACAAGGCAGGGGTACTTCTCTTACTAGACATAACCAATACAGAGCTACATAAAATGACCAACAGTACAAAAGAGAACCCAGAAATGAATCCTACACATAGAAACTTGTTTTATGAGAGTTTGCATTGCCTGTAAGTAGAAAAAGGACAGAGTATTTCAGTAAGTGATGCTCAGTAATTTTTTCATATGAAAAAATAATAAAAATAAATTTAAAATTAATTTCCAATTGGATTAAACACCAAATTGTGAAAGGCAAAAATAAAATCAATACTCCCTTTAGACCTGGGCAAGAGTGAGCCCTGCTCTGGGCCCATGATTTAAGGCCCTTGCTCTGGCCTTCCTCCAGCCAGCCACCTTGCCACAGGGGAAGTAAGGGGTCAAGGGGTCAAGAGGTCTGTCTTCAGCAGCCCACACCTCCCCTTGTATGCTGAGCTCCAGCTACCCAGGCACTGTTAGTCCCTGCTCAAATGCCAAGCCGGTTTCCAGGACCTACACAGGTCTCTTCCCCTGTGTGGTCCCCAGGCAGCAGACTGTGTCACAAGTGAGCATACCTCTCGACTCCAGGGCTGACTAAGGAGCAGATGTTGTGGAAGGTAGGGACGGAACACTGGCACATGGCCAAGGTGTGCATCTATGGGCGTGTGGGACAAAAACCAAAGTAGGAAAAGAAAGCAGAGGACTTGGAGAGGCCTCTGTCTGGGCCTCCACCTTTAGGGCAGAATTCTTTAAGGAGTCTGCAATTTCTAATTCAAGCCTAGATAGAGTATATTTTATGGTATATTTATTAAGCAGTTCGTTAGCTAGATTTCCAACCTTTGAAATATTAGATGTACGGTATATGTGCCTTTGTTTGTACTCTTCCTCTGGTCTGGCTAACAGAGAGCTATCTAGGGTGCTTTTAAGGCCAAATCAGGCCCTCTGCTCATTTTTCTTACATCTTATTGGAACACAGCCACGCCCATTCATTTTCACATTGCCAAGTACTGCTTTCATGCTACTACTGCACAGTGCAATAGTTGCAGTTGCCACAGAAACCATATGCCTCACAAAGCCTAAAGTATTTACTATCTGGTCACTTCCCAATTGAAATCTTGTTGGTTCCTGAGTTAGGTAAAAATTTAAAACCTTGAAAGAGAAAAAAGTTTAAAACGAGACCTAAAGAATAAAGATATGAATCAACAAATTTATCTATATCAAAATTAAGAACGTTGAGTCCATCAAAAAACACCATGAAGTAAAAAGACAGGCTATGAACTAGAATATTTGCAACACATTGCAAATATTGCCAAAGGCCTGGTTTCCAAAAATAAAGAGAACTCCTACAATCAATATGAAAAAAAAATAATAATAATTTACATAAAACAAAAGTCAAGGAAAGACACTTTACAGAAAAGGAAATAAATCTTGCAATTATAAACATGAAAATGTACTCTAATGCATTAGAACCAGGGAAATACAATTAAAGTAATAACTTGGTATCATTTCATGATGGAAATATTTCCCAAATTTTAAAGTCGGATATGGAACAGGTATTCTCACGAACAGGATTTAAATTAGTCTAAGCACTTTGGAACAATGTGTAACTACTAATAAAGACGACGACATGCATATCCTACAACCTATCAATTTCAGAATTAGACATGGAAACTAAAAACCAACTCTTGATACGTGAACACCAAGAGATATATACAAAAATGTTTATAGCAGCATGTTTTCTCAGAGAACCCCTCTCTCTGAAAATAACTGTAAACAGCACATATATCCATCAGTCTTGGAATGGATAATTACACTAGACTCAAACAATGGACTACAATGTAGAGGTAAAAGTGAATGAAATATAGCCAAGGTATTAATCTGGATGAATCTGAAAAAGAAATTTGTAAGAAGCATGTATTTCATTTGTATAAATTTCAAAAACAGCAAAATTAAACAGCATAATATCCATAAAACAATAAAGAAGAGTAAGGGAATGATTAACCCAAAATCCAGGACCATGGTTACCTCCAGGAGGTGAGGAGATGCAAGCTCAGAGAAAAATACACAGTCGTTTTTTAAACCACTGTAAATGCTTCTTTTTCAACACTGGCAGTAGTTACACTGATGTCTGTTTTATTACTTTTCTTCAAACTGTTCATAGATACTATATACACTCCTTTATATGCATAACTTAATTCAGACACACACACACAAAAATTTAAAATAGCAATATAAACTTCATGTTTCAAGAGTCTTCTTAAGATTCAGGTGAGCTGAAAACTAAGGGAATTTTTACTATAAAATAAGGATATACAGGTTTGTAAAAGAGCAAACCCTTACCCTGTGCAGCCTTTTCAGCATCTCTAGGAGAACTCTGATGTGACAGTTACTCTCAGCACTTTCAGTACGGCGGCAACGCAGTTGAGCAGTGACGGCTTTTTTAAACATCTGCACCAGTTTAATGAAAGCAGGTTCTTGCAGTGATGCCCAATATTCCTCTGTGGGATACAAAGGTAAATAAATGTTAGCATGTAATTTCTCTTGGATTCTTAAAGGTAAAAAGTCATCCAAAACTGATAGAGTATTTTCTATATATCATAGTTACAAAAACACATTTGTAATATATTTTTTAGTATATACAATTTCAATGAAGTTAGGAATGTAATATCCTAAAAAAAAATCCCTAGAACCACAATCTTGATAATCTGTGAAAAAAGACATTAGTCACATTTTTATCCAGGTGAAAAAAGCATACTGTATTAAAGACTAGATTAAGAACTATTCCTGATTGTACAAGTCTTCTTTTCATACTGTTAAAAAACCCCTTATAGCATTGTAAAAAAAAAAAAAAAATTTTTAAACTAGCTTTCTATCACTTAAAATATTATGTAGAGTTTATAAAATATAAAAAAGAATGGACTTCTTTGCACTGAATATGCTATTTATATATTTCTTTTTTTAAAAAAACCTCATTAAATCTAATCAAGCCCCTAAAATTAACTTTCAATGTACTGGAAACACGCAGAAAGGAGGAAACAATCAGACAAATCTATAAATGGGACATTCTACAGGGCAACTGACCTTGAATTTTTTAAAAGTCTGTAAAATACCTTTTGCAGAAATTTGAATATGGCCTGGCTATTAGATATTATGGAATCATGGCTAATTTTATTAGGCATGATAATGATGTCATGAAAATGTAGATTTCCATATTGTTATATGAGGCATGACTAAATATTATAGGTGAAATGTCATGATGCCTCCAACGTACTTTCAAATAGTTCAGCAAAAATGTAGTCTGTACTTAAAGAGAGAGGAAGCACATATGGCAACACATTAACTGTTGCTGATTCTCAGGTAGAGAATACCTGGGTATTCACTGTACTATTCCTTCAATCTTTATGTATGAAATTTTTCATAATGAAAAGTTGGGGAAAAAGGACCTCATGACCAAGCCACCCATAGATCATTGTAAGAACTCTAAAAAGGTACTAGAACAATCAAAATATATTTTGGACGAGTAATTACTAAAGTGTCATTAGAGTATGCTAAGAATATAAGGTAAAAAAACATGAATGTACTTCCAATGTCTACCTAAGTTTTGCCATAACTTCACTAGGCACATCTTCCCATTGAGAGAATGGTAAATATTTTCACATGTGCATCATCAATCTTACCCAGAGCCCCTGAAAATTTCTCACTCATTTTACAAACAGCCTCTGCAAATGGAACCACCAGGGTCTCCCAGTTGTTGCAATCATGCATCATGGGACATTCTGGGAGAAGGAAGAAAAGTCCTAAAGCTTCTTGGTGTGAAGGGAATGGAAGATTTTTGAGCAGATTATCCCTGAGACATGCGGTTACCTGTAGTGAAAAAGAATCAGGGAGAAGACACTCAAAACACAGCAGGAACTGGGTGCCACTTACTCTAAATAAAGTGTAGAGCCTGAAGTTTCACTGCACTGTAAAACTGGAATAATCATTTATTCTAAAACCAATGTTTACATCCCATTTCATCTAGTCTCCCAATATGAGGTGTAGCTATGTGACATGTAGTACTCCCACTCATTTATTGGTGGTGCATGAAGGAGGTAAAGAAGAAATTACACGTAAAAGAGTCATACTGGAGGAACAGTGGGTTCACAGCTAATAAACAGCCCTCCCAATAATAAAGACTACATTGCACCCTCTTGTTCCACAATCACACCTCATTTTTTTTCAAGAGGAAGAATATGTTAAAACCCCCAAAAGCAAAACAAAAATAAAACCTAAAAACGAACAAAGTAATAACTGCAACAAAAACCAACATGGTTTCCTATTATCTTCTCATAAGACCTCATCACCAACTTTCCACCACAAACTCTAGTTCTAGCCCTTCCAATTTCCTTAGTTTCCCCAATTCAGAATTCAAGTGTTCAGGAAAAATTCAAATACAATTCTAAATTTTTGTCATGTGTGCTCAGATTATAAAAGTTATTTGTTTAAAAACCTACTAAGAACATAAGCTAGTATTTAGGGAGTATTTATTTGTCAGATGCTAAATGATTTACATATGATTAAATAAGTCATTTAACCCCCTTTAATAGGTGAGAAATCTGTATTTCAAAGAAATTAACTTGCTCAAGGTCACACAGCTAAGTGGGAATCTCTCCTGGATCTTTCTGACTCCAAAGCCCTAATTCTTAATCATTAAATTATGAGACACTTGCAAAAGGGTATCTCTAACTGTTCACATTTATAATGATTTCTTTTTTACATCAAAATATACTGGGCTCCTACTCTGTGGTTCAGTCTTTGGAGTCACAAATATCTGACACTTCTATTTAATAATGCCTCAACAGCACACATCCTTTCTATCTCTTTGCTCATAAGCCACATCCCCAAACCTCCCAACCCACCCGGAACTCTCTCTCGCAATACTCTCAAGCCAGTAACACTGTTTCACATACCATGTCTTAGTCTACATCTCTGCTCACTTGCCAGGAATGCCCTTCCTCCTACTTTCCCTGGGCACCTTGTTTTGAGTGCTGTAAGCAGAGCTGACTATCCACTGCCCTAGTAATCACTGAACTCATCCAGAATATTTATTATATACCCACTATGTTCTAAGCTAGGCATGAGGGAAGACAACAGCATGTAAAAAAACACAGCCAGTCTTCCCATTAATAGCTCCATGAACGTGTCTGTGTGTTGAACTAGGCCATGAGCTTCTAAGGGCAGGGAGCATACCTCTTTCAAATTGTTCATCAGGAGTACTCATCACAATGCCCTTCACATAGCAAATATTCAAATGTTTGCTAAATAAATGAATGAATGCCAAGTCTGTGAATCCCTATCACAGAAATCTCAAAATAGAACCATCTTCTGACCCAATTATCCTGTTGAAAATGGAAGACTACTCTATGATCATATCAGTTACACTTTATATTGTTTTGGAACAACCAAGGTATACTTAGTCTTGATGATGAACTGATCCAACCTCTTCCCTTCACAGATGCAGAAATGGCCTTCTATTTTGGGGGACACTGTCTATTAGGTGGTGCAGAGTCCTGATAGAGATATATAATTAGGGATCCATTTTACCTCAGATCCCTAACTGGGCCATGGTTCTGTCAAAATTAACAGAACTGAAACTCCCATCTTCCTCTGAGATACAGGAATAGGTGTGAGAAAGAACCGCAGCTAAGATACAGAATGCTAATTATCACAGAGCAAGAGAGGAGGTGAGGGAACTGAGAGGGACAGGGAAGAGATGAGAGCAGGGTTGAGAGGGAAAGAGAATGAGCGCTACAGAAACAGATGGAAAGACAAAAGAAGGGAGGAAAGGAGAGGGGACAGAAAGGGGGTAAGTAGAGTGGCAAGTAAGGGGAGGAGCAGGGAAGGCAAGGAGAAAAGCAGTGAAGGACAGAGAAAGAAAAAGGAACCAGAGTGAGACCCAGAAAGAAAGAGACTGAGGAAAGAGTATACCAAGTACCACCCCTAGATCAACCAATACAACAGAACAGGGAAATAAATTAATAAAGGCTGAATCAAGAAAGGCTAAATTAATGGAGGAAGTATGTTCATAACATCTGCGAGAGGAAAACCCAAAGACAGTAAAGACAGTGCTGTAAACAAAGACGTTACACTCTCAAAAGGAACAAGAGTACTCTAGAACCTACAGAAAAGGTGCAATGGAACAGGACCAAGAGGAAAATTCCAGGCAATCCTTGGTAAAGAGGATGTTCAAATCAGAAAAAGTGTGCTCATTTCTATACTTATGTTGAAAATAACTACAAATAAAATGCTCTTATTCTAGTGTGCCAATCTCAACAAATCCTTTAATCATCTTCCTAAAGCGCCAAGTTGAAACAATTGCCTCTATGAGAATGTGTGCATATGTGTATATATATGAACCATTTAGACTATTTTTAACCTATATGACTACTATATCAACTATTCCGCTACATGAGCAAACACCCAAATGCTGAGTTTAATATGGATACAATAAAGGGTCTCAATCTCTCAAAACAAAATATTTCTTCTGAGAGTTTGATTTCTTGTAAAAATCATTTTAGTGATTTTCTTTTTCCAAACAGTTTGAAGAATACCACCATGTTGGTAATACAGTCCTTCTGGGTTAACTCCTTAAAGGTGTTTCTTGCTTCATTTAAGTCCAAATGAACAGACATCATTTCTTTAGTTATTCTGTTGAAGAAAGATAAATTTTAAAAATAAATGAATAATGAAAAAGAACAATTCAAAATTAAATATTTTTTTAGATTATCTATCCAGATAAAAAGGTTTTTTTCTAAAGCTTGCTTTCATTTCAATAAAATTAACTTTTTTCTCAACTTTATAATAATTATAATAATTTGGCTGAATAGAAATACAGTTAAAAATATAGGTGACATGATTATTTCTAAAATGCCGAAACTATCAAGGCTGCATTAACCATATATGCTACCCAACTTTAACTCAGATATTATCTTAAGTGGGTAATCAATAAATATTTATTTTCCAGTTAAAAAAAATTGCCACAGAAAAAAGGAAAAGGTTTTTCTTATTTTTGGGGGGGCAGGGGGAGGTCATTTCTCCCAGTCACATGAAGTGAAAGTAAGGACTACAAAAACAGAGATGTCTGAACAGTAAATTGTTAGTATTCCAATAAAATCTACTAATGATGTATATCTTAAGCCATGAATGACATAGTGTACTGAATACAATCATTGCCTAAAAATACACATTCTCTGCAAAGCAATAAGTAGATTTAGTGTCTAAAAAAGTCTTGCAAATAAAAATTATATAAATATTTAGGAAAATAATTGTAAAGTTTTGCCTTCATACTATTTAAAAATTCAAAGAAATCTTAACATCTTGCAACAAGGAAATGTTTAAAGAAAGGCATGTCCTTCCCATGGAATACCAGGTAACCATTAAAATGTATTTTAAGGGCCCCAACTGGCGTAGCTCAGTTGGTTCAGCATCAGCCTATAAAGCAAAGAGTCATGGGTTTGATTCCTGGTCAGGGCGCATGCCTGGGTATGGGCCAGTCCTGGCTGAGGTGCATGCGAGAGGCAATCAAAAGGATGTTTCTCTCTCCCCACTCCACCTCCAAAAATAAATAAATAAAATCTTTAAAAAAATGATAAGCAATATGAATATGGAAATTGAATAAAGCAGATAAATACATTAAGTGTAAAGCAATGCATAAAGCAACATATTCCATTTTTTGTAGAAGAATACATTTATATAGAAAAAGTAGATACACAAATGCTAATGGCTATTACGTTTAGGTGATGGATTATAGGTGATTTTCATTTTTTTGTATGTGTTTTTGACATTTTCTGTAGCAATCACATAACAATAATTTTTACAGTGATAAACACATAGGTGATAATTTTACCCTAAAACCATTTATTTACAATCTTTCACAGTACCTTTAGAATTGAGATATAATTGACATATATTAGTTTCAGGCGTATGACATAATGAGTCTTTACTGGTATATATTACAAAATCATCACCACAAGAAGTCTAGTCAACATCCATCACTAAATGGTTACAATTTTTTTCTTATGATAACTTTTAAGACCTAGTTTCTTAGGAACTTTCAAATATATAATACAGTATTATTAGCTACAGTCACCCTGCTGTACACAGTATTTTTAACAGAACTTTATAAATTTATTACATGCATTATATCTATTACCTTTTCCTCACAAAACTTCCAGTCACACAAGCAGGAGATGAGAATATCTCTCTGATTTCCCTACATTAAGGAATAAGACAGTGGTTAAAACAAATCATGATTATGCTTCCTTATAGCATGAGGCATGACAAATAAAATATCTTATAATTGTCCTCCACCCTCTATCTCCAATTTGTTATTGCCTTGGGTATCTAGAAGTTTATTCCATTTGTCAAATCTCAAATTTTCAGTGGTCAACATGGGAAATAAAAAGGTATATATTCAGAGAAGCCACAGGGCAAGAGAAAAAGGCTTGACCTAGGGTCAGTATTTTCTTTGACAAATATAAAAACTCCTATCTTACTCAGCTTTTCCCAGCCCTATTTATTTCTGTTCCACTGAATTAGAAACCAAAAAATGACTGGAAATTAAATTGGGGGAAGCGAGAGTGTGCTCAGTTCCATCTTACTAGTAATTGCACAAACAGTTTTTGATTGTTTATGCTGAGCAAATTATGATGTAACTTTTTGTACAATTACTTTCAAGAATTAAAAAGCTATACCTAAAATAGCTTGAAAGGGGGATTTTTTAAAAAATTAAGTGTAACCTTTATAGATGGTAGGAGTTATTCAGCTATGAATAGGAGGTCCACAAAGAAGTTGTTCTATGGTCAAATAGGATTGGGAAACTGTGAACTGTATTTCCTATTCACGTAGTCAAAATATAGGCAAACATATCAAAGGCTGAGAGAGGTTCTGCAGTCAAGAAAGCTGCCCCTCATGGATATCACATACTAGCTGTGATGGTTAATTTTACGTGTCATCTTGGCTAGGCAACAGTACCTAGACACATGGTCAAACACCAAACTAGAGGGTGGGAGCTGGGTGGAGGTGGGCAAAGGTGGAAAAAATGGGGGATATCTATAATAACATCAATAAAAAAACTGAAAAAACAAATCTAAATATTGTTGTAAAGGTATTAGATTAGGTTACATTTAAGTCAGCAGACTTTTGAGTAAAGCAAATTGTTCTCCATAATGTGGGTGGGCTTCATCCGATCAGTTGAAGGCCTTAGGAGAAAAAGGTTGAGGTCTCCTGAAAAGAGGAAACTGACTCCAGACTGCCTTGGGACTCAAGCTGCAGTATCAGCTCTTTCCTGGGCCTCCCTGCTAGTCTGCCTTATGGGTTTTGTACTTATGCACTGTCTCAAACCCCTGGGCCAATTCCTTAAAAATCAATCAACCAATCAATACACACACACACAGATTTCTTTGGAAATCTCTGGCTAATGGACCACTTAATAGACCACAAACCCTTGTATCTGTGTATTGCGCAGAGCAAATGGGCGAGGGGAGATACAGCTTTAGGGAACTGCACAAGCAGACCGGCAGATGAGTACCTTTTTGCATTTTGCCACTGCTTAGTCCCCGCATCAGCAATCCACCTCTTTACAGTCCCTTCATTCAGTGTAGGAATTTTCCTCCTCAGATTAACATAAGGATTCTGTAAACAAACAAGAAAAATAAAATATAATAATTAAGAAACAACAGAAACAGGAATCCAACTTTTAGGCACATTCTAAGGATAAAGGCTAATATTGATTTTAAAATATGGATAACATAGCTTTGGGAAACTATAAAGTGAAAGCAATCACTTACTTGGTTACAAATTTCTTGCCAATTTGGATCCAAATTTAGATCCAAAGTAAATTTCTCTGAGTGTCCCAACACTCAGCACTTTATACAGGTACAACTGGATTAAAGTGAACAGCATTACACAGCTTTGAGGAGAAGGCAAAGTCCTAAAATTAGAGCTGTGTGCAGAAGTGGGAGGAACACGATTTGCCTTGGTAAAGTAGGATGAAGATGTTATTCATAAGCCTATGAATCTCAGGTCTTTTTTAGTACTGGCTGGCAGAGCTATACTAGAATGTCAACACTAAACAAGTGCCATTCATAGGGAGCCTCCCAAAAAGTAAGAAGAATCTAAGGAAATCTTTCTGATTCAACATTTACCAGGTTCAAAGCTGACTTTTGTGGATATTTATGTAGTTTAGACACTAAAGGATCAATAATGTCTTACCTATGCCCTGAAAGTCAGCCTAGTTACCTAACGATTTTGGAATTCACCCAACTTGGATATTGGAACTGTTTCTTTTAAATCTTATTTATTTTTAGAGAGAGGGGAAGGAGAAAGAAGAGGAAGAGAAACATCAATGTGTGGTTCCCTCTCACATGTCCCCTACAAGGGACTGGGCCCACAACCTGGGCGCATGCCCTGACTGGGAATAAAACTGGCGATCCTTTGGTTCACAGGCCAGCGCTCAATCCACTGAGCCACATCAGCCAGGGGTTAGGACTGTTTGTGTTAGTTAAAATATCAAGTTACAGAACATCAAGAGATCTCTTTTTACCTCTTTTTTCATCCAGAGCAAAATGCTCTGATTACCTCCAGCAATTAGTATTAACTCCTTTTCTGAGGTATGGCTTTCTGAAAGGGATATAAAGAAACTTTAGATTGTCATTTGAAACAAACAAACATGCACACTCAATTAAATTTCAGATTATTTTTAAACTCAGTCCTTTTAACTTTCTGATAGGCAAAGACTCAGCCCATTTCCACCCCCATAAAGCAGAAATATATATCTACTTCAGGATAAAGTCTAATTAACAGGGGATTCACAAGGTTGATACATGGCATCAGTTTAATATACATAATATGAATGTTTATATATATAAACAAACACATAGTCAAACAAAGGTTTGATTAGTAACTGCTCCTTGGTGTAATTTGGCTCTCCTATTACTAAAAACTATATTCTACACCTCAAGATTTGACCAATGACTACTGGCTGTGAGGAAGGCAGATACGTTATTTTAAAAGTCTATGTAAATAGTTGTAAGAAGTCATATGTATGCCCTGCTTAAGGAAATAACCCTACTGATCATGTTCCCAGGAAAACTGAGAGAATTCTGGTACTTTAGGTCACCAATGAACTTTCAGAAACAGTAACCAATGTGCTCCTAAGCACTTCTTTTTTTTCCTCTCTCTCTCTTTAAAGATTTTATTTATTTATGTTTAGAGAGAGAAGAAGGGAGGAAGAAAGCAAGGGAAATAAATATCGGTATGTGAGAGAAACATTGAGTGGTTGCCTCTTGCACTTGCCTAACCGGGGACAAGGTCCACAACCCAGGCATGTGCCCTGACCAGGAATGGAACTGGCGACTTTTGCTTTGGAGGACAATGCCCAACCAACCGAGCCATGCCAGTCAGGGCCTGAAGCACTTCTAGAATAGAGGACTTCAGAGCTCAGGCTCTGAGGTTACACAGGACATAGCTCAAATCCAGCCAAACCACTTACTGGCTAACCCTTCACTCTCTAAGTCTCTGCACTGTCCAGTAAAACGGAACTGATAGTACACATCTCCCTGCACTGTTCAAGGATAGGTGAGATAACACAGTTACCTCACATATGTCAGCTGCTCTCATTTTGAGGGTTTTACATGATTATGAGTCAATTTAACCAGGAAAAAAAACCCAATCACCATGAAATTAATAGGCCCCCTGCAAACTGGAATCAGAGGCTGCATATGCTTCTGAATCCATACAATCTATTTTTATATTGTATCATTTTAAATCCAAATTAATCTTAATTTGAAGGGGTAAGAGAACACTAATGGTTATTGTGACTTGATAAATTAAACTGGATATTTTAAATTGTAAGTAAAAAATGAAACCGATGTTTAGAGAAATTCCCTTCACAATCGTACATTTCTTTTCTTGCCACATTACAGCTTCTCGGCAAAGGTATTTATGCCAAATCCTGTGTTTCTATAGAATTTACCAAATCTGAGATCTTCATTTGATGGCAATTTCATAGGAACTGGTATCAGCTGATTATGTGTTCCACCATTTCCCAGCTGTCCTTCTTTTCCAGAACCAAATGAAAAGACCTTTCCCAAGTCAGCAACATAGGCAAGTGTGTGCCGCCTATTAAAAAAAAAACACCACACATACAGGCAATTCTCAATTACCCACAATGAGGGTTCACAGCAATGCAGTAAACCTCTAAAATAAGCTTACCTAATGAATGAAACTAGTTAACCAACTCCCAATGCATGAAATTGCCACCTGGAAACTAAGAAACCATTAATGTGTGGTAGAGATGACTTTGGAATCCCTAAGTCCACTCAAGACCATGATGCTGCACCTTGGCAAATGGTGTTCCCTTTATCAGAATGGGCATCTCCCTTTGCCTTTTATTCCCTTTCTAAGCCTTCACTTGAGAGTTACCACCCCTTGGAACCCACCTCTGAGTCCCTCCTCTCCCTACCTGAGAAAATGGAAGTAGTTGATCCTCTGAGTTTTCACTCTTTTTTCCCAGGATTTTATCACACTGATTTTCTTTGTTCAATGGTCTCTCCCAGTGTATAGAATTTGGCCTTCCTCAAAAAGAGGTTGGCCTTTGTCCTCAGTGCCTGGGAGGTAACCTCTCAAGCCTCAGAATCTGCCAGGTGTGATAGGTGTGTCTTCATTATTGCTGGCAGGCCCCTGAGACCACACTTAATAGTTTACACAGATGGCTCACCAAGAGCCCCTCTGGCTGCATATAAGGCAAACCTTTCAAATAAACAATCAAGCTGCAATAACAACCTTGGACTTTGGTGCGCTTCCCTGACTGGCAGTACTCTACACATTGTCATGTATCAGGCTGGAAGGAGGTAACACTTGTCAAGGGGAGCAGATGCTTGAAACTCCTTATTTGGATGCCTCCTAGACCTTGTTCAGGCATATGTATCTCTTCCCTTGGTTATATTAATTTGTGCCTTCCTCTTGTAATAAATATGATCTTGAGTATAATAACTTTCAGTGAGTTCTGAGCATCTTTCCAGTGAATTCTCCTGTGTTAGTAGAGGTACTGCCCTGGTTTCCATTAAGACATCTCTACTGTGACAACTTCTCTTGGAACAAAAGAAGGTGTTATGAAAAATCCAATGTGGTGATAGTTTCTTTGGATATTGCAGACATCAGCTAATGCAGAGAATTTTGCCATCCTAATAATCTGTAGTCTACCTTTATAATATTCATTTATGTAATTTTACTCCAAGGTCATGAGTCTAGTTTTGTAGTCTGAGAGTATGTATACCCATTTTTTGATAAAAAAGAGTCAGTAAAGAAATAAATGAACCCAATATTCAGTACAGTCTGAATCTGGTTGTGTTTAGTGAGAAAAAATTGCCCAAAATAGGAGTATCACCAAAATAGGTGAAAATATTTCTTAACTCCAAGAACCAACATTCCACTGCTGAGAAGTGGTTCACTGATGTTTAAGGAAGAAAATAATTAAGTAAACCAAGGAGTTTGAGAAAGTTTTTCTACTTGTAAAAATAGTTGTGAAAGTCAAATTTCTCAATATTTTACTCAAACCAACAATGACTTTGTCTTCTTCTTTAAGGTGATTACTCTGAAAGAATTTGGGTAATTAAGTATGATGATCCCTGAGGGCCTGTGAGAAAGTGATAACCAATAAACAATTGTGGTTCATGTTTTTTTTAAATTGAATTCATTCAAGTGACATTGGTTAAAATTGGATGTTTCAAGTGTACTATTCTATAACACATCATCTGTATATTTTGTGTTTACCACCCCAAGTCTCCTTCTAATACCATTTACCCTCCTTTGCTCCCTTCTATCCCCAGCCACCCCCCTTTCCTCTGATAATCATCATGCTGCTGTCTGTGTCTATAAGGGTTTTTGTTTGTTTTTTGCTTAACTCTTTCACCTTTTTCAACCAGTTCCCAAACCCCACTTCCCTCTAAGAGCCGTCGATCTGTTCTCTATGAGTCTGTTTCTATTTTGTTTGTTAGTTTATTTTATTTTTCCCAAAGACAAAATGCATTTGAACAGATACAAAGGTATTTCACTGAAGGGGCATCTTAGGAAAAAGGACTCATAGACGTGGACAGCAGCGTGGTGATTGCTTGGGGGAGGGAGTATAAGGGGACTAAATGGCAATGGAAAAAAATACAATTAAAAAAAGAATTTAACTGAAAAAAAGAAAACAAATATGTAGACTAAAGACTATGATTATTTATCAATAATAATGTAAATTAAGCATCTCCACCCATTTCAAAGTGGTTAACACTTGTATCTCAATTGGTGAAACTGATGAAAATTTTATTAAACTTCCCATCTAGATTTACTGTATTAATTTTATCAATGTTCACCAACACTTTACAACTTACCTTCCACATGCTATCTGGGTCACTCTATTCCCAACAAGCTCAGTCACCAAACAGGGTTTTAACTCATTCTGTGTTGAATTATGACCGAGCTGCCCATATTTTCCAGCACCAAAAGTAAACAGGAGCCCATCCTAAGGAAACAGAACTTCGTATCAGATTCTAGAGAAATATGACACAGAAGTTGTATTCACAGATACAAAGGCACTGGGGAAAAATTAAAAAGCACCGTCAAGTAAAACCCTCAGTGATCAGGAAGACTGTCCCGCTTGTGGGAAATGATGACCTTTCCTCCCTGGGAAACACTAACTGCCCACACTTAGATGTTCTAGTGCTTCCCCCACCACAAAGTGTTCTTCCAAAATTACAGTCAAGGAAATGAGGGGACACGCACCTTTGTGAGCACGGCGGTGTGAGAGCCACCACAAGCAAGAAATTCAACTTTCTGATTGTTCAGTGCTTCAATAAGGGAAGGAAAATCTTCATCTGTACAAGGGAAAGAATAGCTGAGGTGACCAAAAGGAAATGCTGAATTTCCCACTAGGGTTCTGTGCTACAGGTAAAGTACCTGGACTACTTCCTCTCAGCATAACAGGAATAGTTCCCAACACATTGTAACAAGAAAGCATGTTGTTGTTTTTAGGCTGAAGGGTGGGATTGGACAATGGTTAAAGGACCACGTTTTGGGGCACTCATCTATAAGTATCAAGCCACTTCCCAGAGCTCATTCTTCTCTTTTTAATCTAGCCTGATTAACTTTAATTACAAGATATCTGATATTTTTAATTCCCATTGAAAAGTGTTCTTTTAAATGGATTTTTGTTTTAAATTCTCTACTATGGTGTCCTTGTCTCACCCTAAGTCTTCTTTTTTTCACGATTATTTTCTTGTCAAAACACTTAGAGATTCAGCAAAAATAGTTTAACTCCCCTTCATTCCTTTGCCTCCTTTGAATATTCTTCTAACACTGACTTATGAGTTCTCCTGAGTAATTAGCATGGGACCACATCAAGGAGAAATACAGTGTTTAACCAGTAACTCAGGAGATACGTGTGCATTACCAGAGTTGATAAGTTAATGGAGTCTGCTACGCCTGAAAAGTCTAACAAGGTGTTTGAGATCATAAGAAGTTCTATCATCTACTATATGGAGGTAGTTCAACAATGGGAATTATTGTACATGTTTTATCATGCACCCATACATACGTGTGTATACAGATGTAATTAATGGTTTACAGAATATGATTAGGATATGTGAGTTTCTAAGAGAGAATGTTAGTATCCTTTGGTCATAGTATATTAGTGGACACTTAAGTGCACATATACCTTGAAGGTCATGTCATCCAAACTCATCACTTCACTGAAAATAAAAATAAGGCCTAGAGAAAAGCTATAAATGACTGGGTAAGGCCATGCAGTTAGTTAACTGTGAAATGGGAATCACAATCCAGGTGTTCCAATCCCCAGTCTGATACTCCTTCACCTTTTTCTCATGGTCCTGACATGTAACCCAATTATATCAAGGACTTCCATACTATGCATGATTTTAAAACCTATTCTTTCCTAAACACTGAGAGATTACCAGGAAGAAGAGTGAAAATAAAAGTGAGGACTTGAACCATTTTTAAAAGGAATGTCTGCATTAAATTCATCACTTAGCTAACAAATATATCTGTTGATAACATGAATTTCAAAATATGTTTCCATACCGTTGGTGTGGCCCAGGCCTAGTTGTCCAAAATTATTTCTTCCCCATGAGTAAACGTTTCCGGACATGGATAAAGCCATGCAGTGGGCTTTTCCTGCAGAAATCTGAGCCAAGGGGACTCCAGAGAGGTGCTCCACAATCTGTGGTGTGGGGGTTGAGTCAAATACTTTTCCAAGTCCAAGCTGGCCATGTAAGTTCTGTCCCCATGCAAAAAGCTCACCACCTTGACAGAAACAAAGAAAATGCTGTCTTATTAATTTTAAAATGCAGCAGACATTACGCTAGGGCATTACATATGCAATCCATATTACCGGTATACTATCACAATCTCTTATACTCAAACTGCCCAGACTTTTTAGATGCTGTATTTCTGAATCAGAAAAACTAGAAGAATCTTTTTAGCAGTAACAGTTATACTTCCTTACCTCCTACCCCAAAGGACAGTGTTATAGACTAAATGATTGTGTCCCCCCCCGAAATTCAAACACTGAAATCCTGACCCTCAATGTGAGGATATTAGGAGGTGGGACCTTTGGGAGATGATTAGGATTAGATGAAATCACGAGGATGGATTTCTCATGAACTGGATTAGTGCCCTCATAAGAGACCTCAGAGAGCTCACTTATCCTTTCACCAGGTAAGCAGATGACTCCTCATCAGTCACTAAATGTGTTGGCACTTTGAAATGGACTTCCAGCCTCAAGAACTGTGAGAAATTTCTGCTATTTAAGCCGTATTTTTGTTATAGAAGCCCAAACAGACAAAGACAAGCAGAATGAAGCTATCTGAACATATTATAATTAAATTTAAGAAATACTTATTTTTAAAAACTCAGGGGATAGGCCCATGAAAATCAAAAACATTTACATTTTTCAAGAAAAATTTTACATTTTACATTTTTGTTGAAAAATGTAAAACATTTTATACTTTTCAAGAGAAGTTCTTAGCCAATATCTAACGAAGCTGACAATATCTAATGAAGTCTGAAAAAAATGTATCAGAGAATTAACGCTTACTGGACACCTCTTTGCAAGATCTAGTGGCAGAGCCTTTCCTTCAAACATAATTATCACGATAAACCTTTCAGCCTCTGAGAATATAATGATGAAAATGCAGTTTCATTTCTTGTTTCCCCAACTTTCCTTTTTCCTAGATGGGATGTACCAGTAATAAACCCTGAACATCCTGTCCCCCCACATCACTCGATCCCGGGGTTCTTGAAGATGCAGTGTTGTCTGCTTCATAACCTGAACATGTTAGATACTCAAAATGAAACATCTGTTCACGAATGAATGAAGTCAAACCATCAGGCCAATTTTTTCCAATACAAGTTCATACCCTGAAATTTCCATAGGGCCTTGAGAACAGGTCAAATACTTGATTACTTACTTTCTTTGAATCCCAGCATTGATTCAGTTTATGCTTACATCTGTCCTATACATTAAAAAAATCTTTCTTCAACCCCGAATTCCTCTCTATCGTCCTCCTGTCTTAATCATCCCTCCATGGTCAAGGTTCTTTAGAAAACAATCCATTATGGTGTCTGATAAGAAATAGCAAATAATAAGGGGCTAGGGAGGGGCCTGCAACTGGCCACAAAAGCAGAGCCAAAGGATTCCGAGCTTCTGCCATGGGGGTTGGAAGAGCACTAAGAAAAGGGGAAAAGGGTGGCCCGTGCCTGGTCCTAATTCCAAGAGAGAATGATTTGACTATTCAGACTATTTTCATTGTTTCATTTTTGAAAAATAAAAACACAAAACTGTTGAAATAAATCTCCAGACCTAAGATGGAGCCACTACTGTCTGGGGTGCTCTGTCAACCAAATTTTCATGCTTCTCTAAACGATCCACTTGACCAGAAACACATTATATCCAGGCAGTCAATCCCCAAACATCAAGCCGACTCTGGGCTCTATAGTTATTTCCTTGATCTTTCTAAATAAGATCAGATACACAACCCTAGGCAATCGCACCCTATTTCCAAACTTGGTCTTCTAAATGCTCTATAAAATAATGCTCTTGCCCAAAATCCCTTGGAAGAATGCTCCATTGTTTGTGAGGAACTGTATTCCCCAATTCATGGATCATTTTCCCCTTCAATAAAGAACATCAAACTCACTACAAAATTGTTTTAGTTTTGTCCTTTGACAGCATAAAATGTAGGAACAGTAATGGAAGCCTAAAGATTTTACAGGTCCAAGAATTCTCTCATTTGATATCTCCTTTAAGAACATTGCTCTGAACCATATTAAATTCAAAACCGTATTTCTGTCCCGTTATAAAGTAAAACATAGACATTCTATTAGTTCTACATATGTACACATTTACTCCCTCCAAAATACAATTAATATTCCAGAAAAAATACCTTTTGAGAGTGCAAGAGAATGATAATCTCCACATGTGATCTGAATTATATATTTTTCTTGTAAAATGCATTGAAGCCTGATGAAAGAAAATATATTTTATATCAATCACCATATGAATGCAAGTCACAACATCAAAATATGTCAGAATTATTAACTGTACTTAATTAGGATTGAAGCTCAAGAAAAAATTTACTGCTTCACATTCAGTACATCTAAAATTATTATAAAAATATGATATGTTTTAATGAGTGGTTTAAAAGGAAAATAATGTGCATTATATAGTTATAATTGTAATAAGACGATTCTAAGACTTTTGCAAACAATAATTTTATGATGCAGGAATAAAACAAGATAAAAATAAGTTCTAATTCACATGAGCTACTAGGAGAAAAATGTCACGAATCATTCCATGATAATGTATTTTTTTCCTAGGTTGAAAACTTCTATTCTAGAAATCTAACTTCTAAGATTATCATGACTTAATAAATTTTAAAGTCCAATTTGGGGCTAGGCAGATTAACCGATCATTTCCTTTAAATGTCAAAGCAACACATGATAAGCGCCCTAAAGATGTAAATTGGTGTGTAGTTTATTCATGGAATTCGCTGGTCAGTTCAGAATTCAGTTTACTTAAGATGCCACTATACAAAGCAGGGGGCTGGAATCACATAAAGTAATATTTTACTACAGAAATTATGATTGCCTTTTGAGTAAAATTTAAATAATTTTTGACTAAAAAATAGTTCCATACCTTTCAAATTCTATGTTGTACTCAAATGGTTTTCCATCTGAGGATAGAATCAGCATGTGCTCTGCTCCTTGGTCCACAGAATGTATCTTCATTTTTTTCCCTAACTTAATGTACTCTGCAGAACAAATCCAACCAGGAACTATCATCACTCTGATCAATACCCACTATTATTGATTTCATTACAATACACTTAAACGCCTGGAAAAAAACTTCAACCAGACAACCTTCGACTTAACGTGAACTTGTCTTTAAAGAAAATTCAAGTATAGAAAGCAGACACGTTAGCGATGATTATTGTCTTGGACTTCTTTTTTTTAATTGGGAAAGCATTGATCCATACTTTGTTTTGAATATATCTTTTAAAAAGCCAATCAAAACTTATTAGATTCCTGCTTAATAAGTTGAGACAGAGAAACTAAATTCTAAGTGACAGCAATAAAAAAATCTATTAAGAAAATACAATTTTTGGACAGCATAACTCATTGTAGGAGCAAATATACCGTATATTCTGATATACTCTTTCCAAAAACAAAATTAATAATGATAGTAAACCCCTCCTGACTGCTTCATAGAGAAGCAAAGGCCTACATTCTTAACATTATGTTTGAGGGACTATTTTTAAAGAGGATGCTGTTAAAAATTTTTATTGGTATTCGCGCACACTTAGCCCTTTCTAAAGGTTAAGAGATTTAAAATTGTTCACTAGTTACCATTTGCTCTTATCTCATTTAGTTGTATCACAAAAATTAAAGTAGGATACAGCAGATTTGGGATCTTGTGTCACTTTTTAGTTCCAGTAAAGTAGAAAATAGAGTCTATTCATGTAAAATATCAAAGCACAAACCACTTCACATTACAAATGCTAGGAGAACCAACATAGTCTGGTAATAAATAAGAAATGGTGTCACAGACTAATAATTTTTAGAGACTCAGCATTTCAAATCAGTTGGAAAAAAAAAAGGGGTTATTCAAAAAAACGTACTGGGACACCCAGGTGGCCATTAGGGGAATACAAATAAATCTATATCCCCTACCTCACTCCTTAAATTAAAATAACAGCCCAGGGTATCAAAATTTTTAACTTTAAAAATAAAAACTTAAAATTTCTATAAAGATGAGTACACTAGAAAAAACTTGGTATAGATAGCTTTCTAACAACACAAAATCCGTAAGCCTCCTTAAAAGAACACTGATGACGCATACAATAAAACAACATCAACTATATGCAAGTTGAGAAAAATATTTACAGCGTATACGATCGACAAAGGGCTATTCTTCCTTAATATTCCTATAATTCTTTCAAGTTAGTAAGAAAAACTCAATTTTTAAAAAGCCAGGCAAACACACGAACGGGTAGTTCACCAAAAAGGATTTCTAATGACTAACAGAAAAAAAAAAAGAAGAGATGCTCTACTTCGCTCAAGTTACAAGCAAAACGAACAGACCACCATTTTCTTCCCTCAACAGAGGGGCAAAATTTTTAAGAGTGCGAAGGAGTGTGGCCATTTGCTTTTCCACGCCTGTAAAATCGGAGCCACCACAGCACCCGACCTAATCTCTACGGAGATCACTCGTAACCTCGGCGAAGTGCAATTGCAAGCACTTCTGAAAGCGCTTGCTAACGTAAGGCACTGCCTTCGAGAACAAGAGGAACTGTATTCACCAAAGGCTCACAAAATCGGAGCAGCTACGCTCTAAAAAGAGGCACCTGAAAAACAAACTCTGGACAGAAACCAATGATAACGACAGACTTAGTAAAGTGAAGATGCTACCTGTATACGCTCTCCCTCCCCGCGGTTAACCTGCGCAGAGGACGGTCCCGTGGTCCCTACCACCCCGCAAACTTGGCGCCACCTGGTCACAGGATATAGGGGACTTCTGAGGTGCCTCGGGCACTGAACGCGAGAAACGAATCCGGGTCCAGTGCGTGTCTGCGGCCACCGCGGACCGCTGCCGCGGCAGGTCCACTTGGGAGCTTTCCTCCCCGTTCAGAGAAGCACCTCGCTCCACAACTCGGACCACCCGAGGGTCCCGGGCCGCCTACCCTCAAAACCCGTCCCGAGGCTGGAGGGCCATACTGGCGTTGCCGGCCCCACTCACTTGGCTTCTTGGCGCGGTCGCTCCCCACCGGCAGCTGGTGCACCTGGACGACCGCCCCGCCGCGCTCCAGCACCGCCAGGCGACCGCGCGTACAGCACATCTGGCGCGTCTCCCCCGACCTCCGGGACAGCGCACTGTTGAGGCCAGGGGCGCTGGGGAAGAGCCAGAGCTGAGCGCCCTTCGGCTCCGCTGACTGCCGAGAGGCGGCGGGCGGACGGGACTTCGCCGGGTGCCGGGACGCCGGTCGCGCGCCGCCCCCCGACCTCCTTAGTGGCCTCTGTTCCATCGCCCCTTTCCCGGGCTCCAAGACAGCACCTCCGCAGGCCGGACCTTCAGAGGAGAGTGAAGTTCAGTAGGCCGAAACGCAAAAGAACGGAGGACGTCCCGGTGCAGAGCCGCGGAGCGCTCTGCGGCGGCGTAGACTCCGAGCCGCTTTTTCTGCCGCGGCTCAGACGCCAGAATCCCAACCTCTTGTTTGTGGGCGGGGCCGGCCGGTCTAGTTGGAAGCGAAACGGATTATTGTTTTTAAAGGGGCGTGTCCAAAACGGAAAAGGAAAGAGAAACTCAAACGTTTTTAGAATGGCCAAAGTAAACGGTGGAAGGTGTTGAGGTTGGCGGGCGAGGCAGAGAAAGTGCCCCCTGTCCTCTGGCGGGAGGGACCATCAGAACTCCTGGACCAAATGGCCTTCTAAGAAACACTGCGGTTCCTTTAGAAGGCGCCCCGATATAGCCGTACTTGCACAGTTTCCCGAAACTATTGAGGTAAAGAAAGCTAAACTTTGCAATGAAAGTAAAAGAGAAAGAACTGTGTGCAGTCTGTCCCTCCGCCCACAGCGCGGCGCCTGGCAATGTAGGTCCTGCCTTTTCCAGAATTCCTGGCAAGAGGTATAAAACATGCAGGCATTTGTGTATGCTTTTTTTTTTTTTTTAATTTTGCACAATTCTTTTGAGATTCACCCTGTTGAAGTTCGTTGAAGTTCTCTCTTTGTTATTGTGGAGTGGTATTCCCTTATACGGGTAGACCACAATTTACCTATTCACCAATCGAAGGGCATTTTAGTCCTTTACAGTTTTTGACGACAGTGAACAGAGGTGCCCTGAATATTTGTGATCAAGTCTTTTAGTGGATAAGTGTTTTCATTGGAGGGAAGAGTAAATACTTAAAAATGGGATTGTAACGTGTATATGAATATCACAATAAGAAACTGCCAATATTTTCCAGTGCTATACCATTTTGCATTCCCTCCAGCAATTTATGGGAGTTCCAATCGCCCTGTATCTTCGCCAGCATTTGGCATTGCCAGTCTTTTTAAATTTAAGCTATTGTGTGTAGTAGTCTCTCACTGTACTTTTAATTTCCATTTCCCTAATGATTGATGATGTTGAGCAACTTTTCGTGTGCCTATTATTTTCGTGTGGCTAACCTCTTCTTTGGTGAATTGCCTGATCATATCTTCTGCCCATTTATTAATTAAATTGCTTATTATCTAAAAGCTCTTGATTAACTTTCTTTATGTTCCATATACCAAGTCTTTCATTACATTTTGAAATGTTTTCTACCAGTCTGTTGCTTGCCTTTTAATTTTATTAAAAGTGTATTTTGAAGAGCAGAAGTTTTTAATTTGGGTGCAATGTATCTTCTTTTTTACATAGTCCATGCCTTTTTTGTTCTACTCAAAGAATCTTTATTTAACCCAAGGTTACAAATATTTTCTTAAGTATTGTCTTCAAGAAGTTTTATGATGTCGAATCTGTTACATTTCAAATGAATTATTCTTCATGGTGTGAGGAAAGAGTAGAGGCTTTATTTATGTTTTTCCTTACAGATTTCCAATTGTTCCATCTTACCTTTCCCCACTGAATTGCTTTGGCACCTGTGTCAAAACTCTTTTGATCCATATATGATTGGATTTATTTCTGAGCTTTTTATTGTGTTCTATTGATCTCTATATGTATTTTTACTCCAGTACTACACGGCCCTGATTACTGTAGATTCGAAGTCTCAGTCATTCAAGTGCTCTGCCATTGTCTTTCAGTGTCCTTTAGCTATTCTAGGTCCTTTGCATTTTTGTATATATTTTAGGATCATCTTATCAATTTCTACAAAACAGACTGCAGGGATTTTGAGATTATGCTAAATGAAATCAATTTAGGAAGAAATGACATGCTAATATTGATTCTTCTGTTCATGTGCATATCTCTCTCTCTCAATTAAAGCTTCTTTAATTTCTTTTCAGCTATATTTTCTAGTTTTCAGTGAATAGACTAACATAGTTTGTTAAATTTATCCTTAAAAATTTTATCCTTCGGTCCTTCGGTATTTATTTTTTGTTGATATTACAAATGATACTCTTTAAAATTTCAACTTAAGATTATTGTGAGTGTATATGGAAATACATTTTTATATATTTACCTTGAATCCTGATACCTTTTAATTTATACTTAGTAGTGCTAGTATTTTTGTAAATCCCTTAGAATCTTTCACATAACCAGGTAGTCTATAAATAAGATAGTTTTATTTCTTATTTTCCAACCAGCATGAATTTTCTTTTTTTTCTTTCTTTGCCCTATAGTATGGACTAGTACTTCTAGCACAATGTGGAAGCATTGAGAAGACATCCTTGCCTTGTTCCCAATTTTAGTAGAAAAGCATTATATTTCACTGGTAAGTATAAAGTTAGATGTGTGTAGGCTCTAACAGACTAAGTTTTCTTCTGGTCCTAGTTTGCTAGTATTTATCACCCATGAATAGCTGTTGAATTTTATCAAAAACTTTTTCTTCCTCTATTGAGGTAATTGTATGATTTTTTGTCTATTGTGGTAAAATATAATGGCTTTTCTATGCTTTTCTGGATTAAACCCTACTTAGTCACAAAGTATTATCTTTTTTATATTTTGTTGAATATGTTTGATATGTTACAATTTTATAAAGGATTTTTGTGTCTATGTTCATGAGAGATATCTGCAGTCCCCCCTCAACACCCCGCCACAGTGTCTTTGTCTGGTATTAGGATAATGGTGGCATCACAGAATTAATTGGGAAGTATTCCCTCTTTCTCTGTTTTCTGAGTGTGTAGAGAATATATAGTACAGTTCATCCATTTGCATTAGAAAAAGTAATGTTGGAGGTGAAAGGCCTGAAGAACACAACACAACACAACCCAAAAGTCAGAAGCCTAAGGATCTTTAAGATGTAAAGATTACCTTTTCCCTTAAAATTCAGAAAGAATACATCTGTGCCTCCATTCCATTTGTTGTAGAAACCGGACATTTCCAAACTAACTCTGAGGATTTGCTGAGGGCTTACGTTTCTACTGACCACCTCACATTCTAGCATCTTCGGTGAATTCTTTATCTCTGTTCTGTCTACCCTCAGGCGACCCTGTCCTCTTTCCACGTTAGCACCCCAAGGGGGCCTTTACCCCATAGGCTCCTCTTTCCCAAACTACCGTCAGTACAAGGCTCTGTGTGTAGTTTGGTATAATAACAGGCATTCACAGAACAGCTTACAGTTTAAAACTTAAAATTGAAGCGGTCCACGAAATTCATTTGCCATTACCAGCCATACTTATATCTTATTTAATTTATTGTATAACCTTGACACTGAGATATATTTCAGGTTCTTCACATTTCCCCACCTATGTTTAGGCATGAGTTCCTGGTTGGGCTCAGTGTTTAACCAGAATCATGGTATCTGCACTTAGAACGATTCTTGCTTGGAACACAGTATTGAGCATAAGTAACTTTTCAATGAATTAATGAATCCCATAACATTTAGATTTTTCAAATATTATTCAGCAGTTGGTTAAAAAACTCTGGAGACTTTTTAAAATACAAAATACACCTCTACATACCTCAAAATCAAGTTGAATTTGTTTACATTTTTATTATTTTTTAAACTTCCTATTTGCAAGCAGCATTTATTAGATGCACAATATTTTTAAAATAGCTATTAGCTTTTAATCAGCTTATTTTTAAATGACAGTTCTTGCTCAGGAAGTAATTCACTAAAAAGCAAATATTCCAATAACAAGTTTAGGGATTAGGAAATGTTGATTCATTAAAAAATGTTATCTTGATTCATCACTTTATTGCTTGTGTAGCAAATCCTCTGTTGCTGTTGATGGCTAACTGAAGTGCTTCTTCCACTCTTGCCATTGTAGAGTATTTAGGGAGGTAGAGAATATTATGACATACAAGCGATATTGGGCAATCTCTTTCACTGAAAGTTTCAGGACAGCAAAATCTGATTCCCATTTCTTGTAATCCTCTGACAGTCTGCCTATCATTTCCTGTAAGAAAAACTGGAAAGGAATAATCTTTGGTTAAAATATTTCTTAGAAAGAGCAAAACTTAAAATGAAAAGGAAGAAATTAATCATTTCATTCAGTAAATATTTATTGGGCACCCTTGTGCAGAGAGAACTATGTGGGACCATGTGGAGCACGGAAAAATCATGGCATTTGGTCTTTGTCCTCATTGAGTTCATGGTCTAGTTTGGGGGAAATCACATACAAGTTGACCCTTAACCAGCATGGGTTTGAACTATGCGGTCCACATATATGCAGACATTTTTCAATAAATACCAAAGATGTATTTTCCTTATGATTTTCTTAATAATATTTTCTTTTCTCTAGCTTACTTTAAGAATACAGTATGTAATACATACAACATGCAAAATATGTGTTGATCTGTTTATGTTATTGTTAAGGTTCTGGTCAACAGTAGGCTGTTAGTAGTTAAGTTTGAGGGGAGTCAAAAGTAATACACAGACTTTCGTGTGTGGGGAGGGCAGGGGGTGGGAATCAGCATCTCTAACCCCCAAGTTGTTCAAGGATCAACAGTACATAAAAAGATAATAGGAAGATACAGGAAATTTTATGTTAACTCAGCCAAGAAGTATGAGGTGAAGATATTAATGAAGGCCCTAAGACTCAGGGCAGGGAGAGAGGCACCATGCTGAGAAGGCTTTACAGAGGCCATATATGGCTGGTTAATTCTGAAGGAGAGAAGTGGAGTGATCTCTCAAGGCAGGGGAGGAAAGCCTAAGGAAAAGCCCAAGGTAGGAAGATATATGTGAACCCACTGAATGTGCAGATATGAAAGTACACACAATGGAACCCCTGGGCTGAAGTACACTTTTCCGATTAAGAGAAGGTTGGAAAGGTAATTTGGGCTTGTGGAGAAGTAGGCTGGGTTTGTGAAGAAGTTGGAATTGTCCTCTGGCATCCTCAGTAGCAACAAAAGTAGAAGAAAGTTGTGTATCCCAAGAGAAGCTGAAAATGGGATAAGGAGGTGAGAGAATGTCATTGTCTATTCTGGGAACTCTTACAGTTCCCACTAAGAATTCTGATGGCCCAAGGCCACAGAACTTAATGGTCAATAGCCTGGGCTTTGGATCAACCTTTTGGGTTCAAATTCTGGTTCTGACACTCACCACCTATCTGAACATAGGCAAGCTACTAAATACTCCAAAACTTTTTCCTCAGATCTGAAATGGGGAAAAATAAGTACCTATCTCATTAGGTTGCTATTAAGATAAAGGGACGCAACAGATAAAAAGTGATCAGTACAATGCCTAGCATAGAATAAGCACACAATAAATGCTGTTATTATCATCATAAGTGGTCATTGCTATTACTATTATTTCTAAAATACTATTAGAAACAGTTTACATTATCCTAATTTCCTAGGACTTAGATAATTAAATGAAGATGGGAATGTAAGATAAAAAGGCTTCCTTAGGAGCCAACTAGATTGAGGAAAGTAGATGCACACTAAAATTGAAGGTGGAATTAGAATCAACATTGAGAAGTTAGTAAAATAGTGGTATCTTTAGTATCATTTTTTAATGGGGAACAAGCTTATGTAAAAAGCAAACATTGGTCTAGAAGGTAGGGAGCATGGGTTATAAGCCTTGCTTTGCTGTTAACACACATGAACCACCACAGATATTTATTCTTTTAAAAGATATATCTGGGAATTTATCTGAAGAAACCTGAAACACTAACCTGAAAGAACATAAACACCACTATGTTTATTGCAGCATTATTTACAATAGTCAAGATCTGGAAGCAGCCCAAGTGTCCATCAGTACATGAGTACGTAAAACAACTATGGGACATTTACACAGTGGAATACTTGGCCATAACAAAGAAGAAAAAGTTACCCTTCACAACAGCATGGATGGACCTGGAGAACATTACACTAAATGAAATAAGCCAACCAGAGAAAGATAAATACCATACGATTTCACTCATATGTGGACTCTAAGGAATAGACTGAACTAACAAGCAAAATAGAGACAGACTCACAGGTAGAGAGCAGGATGACAGCTCTGGGGAAGGGGAGTTAAGGGGTGGACGGGTCAAGGAAAAAGGACTCATGGACATGGACAACAGTGCGGTGACTGCAGAGTGGAGGGGGACTAAAAGGAGGATGAATGGTAATGGAAACGATACATTAAAAAAGTTAAAAAATAAAAGGTACATATTTATAGATCCATCTATTACTGTAGTACTTACAGAGGAACTTTTTCTTTTCATCCAGAGTTAAATTGTGGAAAGCCTTCCAAAACATCCGTATAGTAGGATGTGATTCAGAGTATCCTTGCTCATACCTTGAATTCTTGAGAAAAAGAAGAAAAATGGGTTTTAAGGGGAGTATACAGCTGTTGTTCAGAAGCATTGGGGCACTTGAGTTATTACCAACCTTTTCAAATTGTTTCCAGTCATAGTCTATATTTCCAACTATTGCTGTCATTAGTTCTTTAGGATGGAAAAGTGTAAGTATCTCCTTGTCACAGACTTTATAAAATCCTCTTTGAAATTCCTCATAAACTTCTTCTATGGATGTATTGAGAATATAATCAACACACTTAGAAACGTAGTCTTTCCTTGAGAAAAACAAACAAAAAAAGGCCTGTAACATACTTTACCAGTGGCTATTGAGAAAGAAAAGTAAATTATTTCTGCATAGCACAGAACCTAGTACTACTCAGGGGTACAAAAATATCTGCTCAGCTAGAAAAAGGAACCTTGGAGAATACGGCAGAAGGATTAAGACTTGGTTTACTCCCATCTTCCTAGCTGCAGTCAGGATGATACTTTAAAAACAGTAATGTGAATATGTTACTCGCCTGCTTAAAATCCTTCAAAGGCTTCTCAAAGGCTGCGCTCAACCTCCGTAGCAGAATGAAAAAGCCCTCCATGATCTGACCTTTGCCCTACTCTACAACCTCTTCCCACTTCCATTTGAATCTCTGGCCTCACTCTCTTGTAGTTAGACCACAGCATGCAGTACTTCCTCTTTACCTGGCAACTTCTATCATTCATCAGAGTTCAACATGCACATGACTTTCTCAGGGTCAGTCCTCTTCATCCCACATTTACAACACGTCACTGTGTGAAATTATTTGTTGTCTCCACTACATGAAGACATTCCTGATGGCAAGGTTGCTAACTGGAGTTATTTCTACTGCATATCCACCAGAAACACTATAGTCTCCCGCCCTTTGAGCATCCTTCCTGGACTATCCTATCTAAATCAACCCCTCTCCGCCCTTACCTGTAACCAGTAAATGTGCCGGTTAATGTTTGACAGCCAGTTTTCCAAAATGAAAGAGAAAAAGGGAATGCTCATTGGCAGCATTTGCCAGTTTCTGTGGTGTAAATATTCCCTCCATGGCCGATTTCAAGCTACTAACACTTTAATAATAAACTCCCAACATTTTTGAAAATGTAACAATCAGCTCTCACAAGTTGGTACCAGTTGATTCCAGCATACCTCTACCTGTAACTCTCTAGTTTCTTAATTGGATTTGATTTTCTTCAGAGTACCCATCCTTATCTGACGTTCTATTATACAATCATCATTTATTCATGTATTGTCTTTCTGTCCTGCTAGAATTTAAGCTCCAGATTTTGTCTGTCATTTTCACTGCTATATCTCCAACACCTAGAATAAGGTCTGTTATAGAGTCAGGGCTAAAAAATAATCGTTAAATGAGTAACTAATGAAAAGTGCTGCAAAGGAAATATTTAATTCTGACTCTTTCTCCACTTCTCTGGTAACCTTGTAACTGTTTCTTCTTCCTAAAAGATGAGCTAAGATGATCATCTGAGAAACTAAAGTACATTTATAAAGTGAAGTGATATAAAATTTACTTATGTGTATTCAAAGCAGATATTGCAGGTCTCAAAACTTACTTGTTGGTTTGGTCCACAAGTACGGAGATCCCATTTGTAATTAAATTAACATCCTTTTGGTCCCAATGTATCTGTAACCAAAATATATTCAGATAGCAACCATGAAAGTAAGTCTGAATAGTCAACCATAATACCATTATTGACAATATGTCCTTCCCTATAAAATGTTAACTAACTTGGAGCTAATTAATTATGCAGTTCAGACTTTTAATACATATGAAAATTTTAAACCGACCCAGTATACGTTGTAAAATACTGTTAAGCATACATTGACCCATTTAGTCATTTACATCAATTGAAAAATTGCTTGTATTTTTACTTTACTGGAGAGTACACAGACATAAGGTATAAAATGAGGAGTGGGTAGGGGGAAGTATTACAGTACAGAAGTAAAATACCGTTCAAAAAAGGAATCCCATATTTGAGATATTATAATAAAATCATTTTTTTAAAAGGTTAAAGCTAAACTATAATCTGGTGTTCATTAGTACTGTGGACCCTGAGAAAGAAGATGCCTACTAAGAAGGGCTTCTTTTGGCTAACTTTAAAATCAAAACAGAGCCTAGCAGCCATTTCTACGTAAGGGCCTGTCCCACAAACTGCACTTCAGAGAGAAGCCTGCACTGAACTGCCTGCCTACGCTGTTTTTGCCATCTGAGCCAGACCTTATAAAGGAGTTCCTAGAATCCTATTTCAAGCAATAGGACTGAGGCTTTCCCCATCCCATTGGAGCTGCTCCAACTATATCCCTATCAACATCTTCACCAACCAATCAGGACAGTGCTTTCTGGACCAAACTGTGAAGATTTGGAGTCCTCATTTGCATAAGGATGGATCAATCAGGGATGGGGGCAGGGACTTATGTCTGTATAAGCCAGCTCCCATGTGGCTCAGAGAAGGCACTTTCCCCTTCCACTGAATACTGTTTCCCTGGGTGGGATGAAACACTGAAGATGTGTCACTGGAGCAGAGTGGAGCAGACCAGCAAGGAGCAGGGCTGTGTAGCCAGAGAGGACCTGGCCCCAGGGCTGCCTCACAGCTGTGCTATATCACAATTGAGCTGTTTTGCACTGAATAAAGTTTCCTTCACTGCACCCCAAATTGGGAATGCTTGTTGGCATTGAATTGGCACCAATGACAATCAGTTGACAGTACTCACAGAAAAATATATGTTCAGTGCTTCTCCAATGTCATCAGCATCATAATTTAGAACTTCTTCCAAATTCCTAATGAAAATTTTGGTTTAAAAATTATATTAATTGATCTTATAACATTTCAAAAGTAATAAATATTCAATGGGAAAACTTTGGACCCTATAGAAATGTATAAAATGCCATGCAAATTTCCTCTCTTCCACCTTCTCACTCCCTCTTCCGAGAGTTAACCTCTATTTACAGTTTTGATTGGTTGGACCATTGCTAACTCAGTCACTGCTGTCTCTTGGTGGAAAATTAAAAAAGGAGCCCCTTTCCCTAGACTAGTGATTCTCAACCAGGGGTAATTTTGCCCCCCGAGGTACACTTGGAAAAATCTGGAGACATTTTTGGTTATCACAATTCGAGGAGGGTTGCTCCTGGCATCTAGTGGGGGTAGTGACCCCATATGCAGCTCGACATCCTACAATACCCAGAAGAGCCTTCCACAACAAAGGATGATCCAGACAAAAGTGTCAGGGGTTCTGCAAACCCTGCTTGGAATTGTCAGGACATACAGTGTTAATCTAGCCAGTTTATTCTTCCACTAACAGTACAAGAGAGGAGAATCCTGTTCTCCAATCTGTTGTCCACTCTATATTTTATGAAAAACTTTTTAATAGTTGTCAATATGTAAACAAAAAAGTTACATTTTATTTTCATTTGTATTTCCTTGATTACTAATAAGGTTGAGAATATTTTCACTTTTTGATTAACCATATATGCATATGTGTGGTAACATATATATACAGGTTTGGCAAAAGCAAGTTTACAGTTGTGAGTACATGAAACAGTTTATTCTTGTATTATTTTTATTTATTAATATATTACTTGTTTTATTATTATTGTTATTGCACATTCTTACTTATGATTTATCTTTTAGATAAGATGGCACGTAATTTAACCTACTTTTGCCCACCCTTACATATTTATACATCAGAGATACTAATTCGTTGTCTATCATATGTTGCCAGTATTTTCCTCATAAGATATGAGGTGGGACCAAAAATAACCCCTGGAATTTATTTATAAAAAGTTGTGTGTTAAAATTGTGTGTTTACTCTTACATGTTTAAACTCCAGTCACTTTCAAAGTACTCTCCATTTAATGCAGTACACCTATTGAAACATTTTTTTCCAGTGCTCAAAACAGTTTTTGAACTTGTCGATTTTGATGCCTTTTAGAGCTTCTGCCATTTTTTGTTTCACCTCTTCCACACTGGCAAAACATTTCCGCTTGAGAACTTTTTTCATCCAGGGAAACAAAAAAAGTTGCTCAGGGCTAGATTAGGTGAATAAGGGAATGGGGGTCATGCTGTCTTTTGGTCAAAAACTGCTGAACATTCAGTGCAGTTTGGGCAGGTGCACCGGTAAATCACCCATCATGAAATGGGCAAATGCTTTTAAAGAGTCGTCAAAAAAAATTCACTGAAGCCAAACACAGCCTCTTACCGCAACACCAGCTGGAACTGAAACATTTGGGTCCCTAGAACACTCACGTAGCTGAGGAAGTCCGTACAAGGGGTCCACCCTCCAGAAGATAATTCTGTTTTTTGGGGGGGTTCCCCCTCATATAGTTTGCCTTTTAACTTAGAGCAAACATTTTTTAATTCTTAAAAATAAAGATGGTAACATGCTGATTTATTTAAGTAAATATGATTAAATACAACTTACTCAAAATAAATATAGCATGCAGGATTTTCATTAAGAATATCATGTATCGTCCAACTGTTTCCATCTGGATAAATTTAAGACCCAAATTCTGTTTATTTTACTAGTTGACAATTAGAGGAACATTTGGCTTTTGTCCATTTTTGAAAGTTTACTTGACTATAAGTCATGCTAAAATTCAAATTCATCTAAACAGCATACATTTGTTGGAATTGAAGACCTTGTATGTGTCTGTGTCTGTGTGTATGTATATGTTTATCTGTGTGTGTAACATCATTTATGCCTAAATAACTAAGAGTTATTGGATAAAGTCATGGAAAACCATTTACTTACTTCCCCAAAACAGGACTGAGTTCTTTTAAATCTTCCAATGATGGCTTTTGGTCCAGAAGTTTCTTAAACAGAGCTAGTGGGAAAGGAATATCGGCAACATTTAAATTGTATAGGGAGAGTCCACACAGCATCCCAAAGAGGAAATATCTCTTCTTCTCAAATTTAGTCTGGAAAAAGCGAAGAGAAAAAAAAATAATGTTCTTAAACAATCAGTTATCCAATGGGATAATTACATCAGTAAAAAAAAAAAGGGTTTTGGTCTCCTTTTCTAAAAATGACAAATTAGAAACAAAATAGCCTTCAGGAAAATAAAAATTTGAGGTTCTTTTTTAAAAAACATTTTATTGACTATGCTGTTAGAGTTTCCCCAATTTTTCCCCCTTTGTCCCCTTCCACCTGGTACCCCTCTTCCTTCCAGCAATCGCCCCCTTAGTTCATGTCCATGGATCATGCATGTAAGTTCTTTGGCTTCTCCATTTTCTATACTATCCTTAACCTCCCCCTGTCTCTTTTTACCTACCAATTACGGTTCTTAATCCCTGCACCTTTTCTCCTGTTCTTCCCCTTCCTCCTCCCAGCTGATAACCCTCCAAACGATCTCCATGTCTATGATTCTTCTCCTATTTTGGTTGTTTACTTAGTTTGTTTTTTCACATTCAGTTGTTGATAGTTATGAATTTGTTGCCATTTTAGTGTTTATAGTTTTGATCTTCTTTTTCTTATAATAAGTCCCTTTAACATTTCATGTAATAATGGCTTGATTATAATGAACTCCTTTAGCTTTGCCTTGTCAGGGAAGCACTTTATCTGCCCTTTCATTCTAAATGATAGCTTTGCTGGATAGAGTAATCTAGGTGGTAGGTCCTTGCTTTTCACCACCTTGAATACTTCTTGCCAGTCCCTTCTTGCCTGCAAAGTTTCTTTTGAGAAATCAGCTGATAGTCTTAGGGAAACTCTCATATGTAACTCTCTGCTTTTCTCTTGCTTTTAAGGTTCTCTCTTTATCTTTATATGTGGCATTTTAATTATGATGTGACTTGGTGTGGTTCTCCTTGGGTCCAACTTGTTTGGGACCCTCTGTGCTTCCTGGATTTATATGTCTATTTCCTTCACCAAATTAGGGAAATTTTCTTTATTTTTTTCAAACAAGTTTTAAATTTTTGCTTTTCCTCTTCTCCTTCTGGCATCCCTATGATTCAGATATTGGTACATTTGGAGATGTCCCACAGGATCCTTATACTATCCTCTTATTTTTAAAATTTCTTCTTCTTCTTGCTGACCTGGTTGAATGCTATTTCTTCATGTTCCAAATTGTTTATTTGAATCCCAGCTTCTTCCCCTCCACTGATGGCTCCCTGTAGATTTTTCTTTATTTCACTTAGTGTGACTTTCATTTCTTCCTTTATGTTGTTGCCATACTGAATGAATTCTTTGAGCATCCTGATCACCAGTGTTTTGAATTCTGCATCTGATAGGTTGGCTGTCTCTACTTTGCTTAGTTCTTTTTCTGGGGTTTTGTTCCATTCTTTCATTTGGGCCATATTTCTTTGTCTCCTCAATTTGGCAGCCTCCCTGTGTTTGTTTGTGTGTACTAGATAGAGCTGTTTTGACTCCCTGTCTTAGTAGTGTGGCCTGTTATAAAAAAGGCACCTGAAACTTGTGTGGGGTGAAGCCTTAGGTAATTGCCAGGGTAGGCCAGCCTGCTTCACTGCTTTGTGGTTCTTTGTAGGGGGAGGACTCAGAGAGGGTGAAATGCCACTGCCTGGCTTCTGGAGGTTTGCCCCACTTCTAGTCACCTCACCCACATCTCGTATGCAAATGGTGCCCTTCCAGTTGTTGCCCTAGTGCTGAATCCCAGAGTGGGTGGTTTTGCTTCTGTTCTAGTCTGTGGGGGCCCTTTAAGCCAAGTCTCCTGAAAATCCAGCATTTTCTTCTGCTGCCACAACCTCCACTGGTTTTTACAGCCAGCAGTTATGGAGATTTATCTTCCCAGTGCTGGAACCCTGGGCTGTGTAGTCTGGCCTGGAGCTGGGATTGCTTGCTCTCAGGGTATCCCTCCCGATTTTTATCTGCCATATGTGAATGTGGAATCGTGCTTTCTGCTGCAGCCTCTTGTTGCCACACTCCATCTCCACATCTCTCTGTCCATCTCCATGACTCTACCTGTCCTACCTGTTTGGGCAACTGGCTTCTTTAAATCCTTGGTTGTCGGCCTTCTATACAGCTCAATTTCCTGATGGTTCTCGGTGTTATTTGTTTTGAGATCTAGTTGTAATTCTTTCTATGGTTGTGTGAGGAGGTGAAATGTGTCTACCTATGCCTCCATCTTGACTGGCAGTTGCCAAAAGCTGAGGTTCCTAAACAGGCTATAATACAATTCAAAATTTTTCCATAAATTAAAATAAAAATTAAGAATCCACAATACTAAATAAATGAAGTTACTTTTTGTTAGTTACTTCACTTCAGTCCCCCTTAATTTATTTCTGTCCTAACAAAGAATCCCTTAAATTTAGATAATGCTCTAACATTTTCAAGGTGCTTTCACACTTGGATATATGCCTTATCTTGTTTTATTCTCACAATAGTCCTGTAAGGCAGGCAGGACATATCCGGGATATAAAAAAATATGCTCAGATAGCCTTATAAAGTAAGGTTTTCAATATTTAATTTTACAGGCTTTGCTTTCAAATTCATGTAGAAAAATGACACTGTGGGAGGAAGGGTGAACTTTACCCTCTCAGCAGGTATCACATATGTCAGACATGTGTTAGATGAGTGGTATCCCTTCAGCAGTATAGCCCTCAACCAAGATGTCCTTATAGGGACAAGCATATGAATCAGGGAAGGCACATGAAGCTGTTAACTGTGAAGCTGGTTGAAGGAAAAAGAGTCCTGATGACACTCGCTTCACTTTCCCTCTGCACTGGGCCGCCATCCCTGCAGCCCAGCCATATCAAGAGCCTACTAATTCTTGTAAGATTTCTATTCCAGCAGCAGCCTTACTGTTAGTAGGTGCAGGACTGAGCCACTCAATAGTCTGTGCCTCAATCTACTTTTCCCATTTTCTTCTTAGAGTAATTGTGAGGATAAATGTTAAAATGCCTTTGAATTTTGAAAATGTATTTAAAATACAATACAAGTACTCTCCAAATGTGGCCTTTTCTAACCTATTCAGTCTTATTTCACGTGTCTGTAATGTGTCCCCTGGTTCTAGTTGATTTAGTCTCTTCATTGAGTCATAGATGAATCAGACTTTTATCTGTTTTCTATTGAGCAGTATAGCACAGTGCATAAGAGTGAGGACTTTGTCCAGTCCTGAATTCATATCCTAGCTTAGTCACTTGCTAGTTGAATGTCCCTAGTTTATTTAATCTCTCTGAGCCTCAGGTTATCTGTGAAACAGGGACAAACCATCTACCTCACAGAGTTGATGTAAGGGTTCTTTTCATGCTCCTCATCCCTCTATTTTATCCCCATCCTTCAATGTCAACCTCAGGTTTCCACTTTTCCATTACACTTTCTCCAGTCACTTCAGTCCACCTTGATTTCCTTCTGTCTTAACAAAGAATCCCTTAACCTTGGATAGTGCCCTAACATCTTCAAGGTGCTTTCACACTTGGATATATGCCTTGTCTTGTTTTAACATTCCTATAAAGCAGGCAGGGCAGAAATTATGACAGCTATATTATAGGTGAGGAAACTGAAAATTCAGAAGAAAACTGAGAAGCTAAATGACCCACCTACCATTACTTGCGATTAGAATTCTGAGCTTCCTATTCTACATCAGTGCTTCCTCCTCCACCCTACTGTGCTCAATAAGTATTACACATTAAGTCAGCAATCCATAATTTAGGAACAGTTGCGGAAGAATCAAGATAGCAGAGGAGGGAGTAGAAGTCACACTGACCTCCTCCCAGGACCAACCTGGAATTACAACTAAATTGTGGAGAAATCACCTGGAAAAAACAACTGAACAATAGAAAGAGAAGAGCCTTGTAAACTTGGAGACAGAAGAATCAGCTTTAGCACAACCTAACTGGTAAGGAGCATTGTAGAGACTCGAGAAGGTGGGCGGGGAGCCCACGGGCGGCAGCACCATAAGGATATTGAAATGGCCAGTTAGATCCTCCTGAGAAGAGGAGAGTCTAAACCAAAAGCTGGGATCTCTAGCCTACAGCACCAGAGCCCAAAAAGTACACAGAAAGCAGCCAGCTGAGAAAAGCGTAGGGTTGCTCTCTTCCAGAGACTGGTGGCTGGAGACGCAAAGAACTGTTTAAAGGGCCAATGCATAAATTTTTATTTGCAGCCACTTACCCTGGTCTCTGGCAAAGGTTGGGGCAGAGTGGCCTAGAGACACCTGAGGAGAGACTGGAGATGGAGGCTTTGGGGAAAGGACGGAGAGAGTGGCCAGCGGGACCTCAGTGCTGTCTCCTACCCCATGTGGTAGCAGTGTGAGAGGAACAATAACCCTGCCCCCAGGAGGGACTCCGCCCTGCGCTGGGCTGTCTAAGGCAGCCTGCTGAGTGCAGAGTGACTAGATTAACAGCTGAAGGAGACAGCCACAGATTGTGTAGTCCTGGAAGTCTTGAACAGACTGCCTAAGGTCAGCCAGGGACGACATCTGGCATCATCAGAGGCAGATCCAGAAAGAAAAAATAGCAGTCCCCAACCATAGAAGTTCACACCACAAAGTCAGGAAATCAAGACAGATCAACTTAAGAAGCAGAAGCAACAAAGAAGAATCTCACAAATAATGGGAAGACAAAGAAATACCCCCACTCGAAGGGAAAGGAGGAATCCCCACAAAGAGAACTAAATGAAATAGAAGCAAGTAAACTATCAGATATTGAGTTCCAAACAACGGTTCTAAGGAAGCTCAATGAGCTCAGTGAGCTCAGAGAGAATTATAAAAAACTACAGGGGAACTACCAGGAAGTTACTGCAAACTATATCAGCATGAAAAAGGACATAGAAACTATCAATAAGAGACAAGAGGAAATGAAGAATACAATTTCTGAATTGAAGAACACAGCAGAAGGAATCAAAAGCAGGCTAGATGAAGCAGAGGATCGAATCAGCGTGCCGGAGAACAAGGTATAAAAAAGCTCCCAGAAAAAGGAAGAAAATGAAAAATGACTCAAAAAGAATGAAGAGGCATTTAGGGAAATGCAGGACAACCTGAAACGTAATAATATCCATATAATAGGGATACCAGAAGAAGAGGATGAGGAAGGGATAGAGAACCTGTTTGAAAAAGTAGTGACGGAAAACTTCCCTAATTGGAGGAGAGAAAAAGACACACAAGTCCAGGAAGCACAGAGGGTCCCATTCAAGATGAACCCAATGAGGCCCACTCTAAAACACATTATCATTAAAATGGCAAATTATCAAAGACAAACAGAGAATCCTAAAGGAAGCAAGGGAGAAACAGGTAGTAAGATATAAGGGAGCCCTGATACAGCTAGCAGCTGACTTCTTAAGAAAAACACTGCAAGCTAGAAGAGGGTGGCAAGAAATATTCCAAGTCATGAAAAGCAAAGGCCCGCAACCAAGGCTGCTCTACCCAGCAAGGCTCTCAATTAAAATGGAAGGTGAAATAGGGAGTTTACCAGACAAAAGACGGCCAAAAGAATACACCTCCACCAAACCAGGATTGCAAAATATGCTAAAGGGACTGCTTTAAGATGAAGAAAAAGAGTCTATGAATACCCAGTTCCTTTCGCAGGTGCCAATACTTGATATTACCAATATTTTTTAATACATATTAATCTGATTGTGACAATGATGAGTTAATTGTTCCTTTATTATCTGTTGAAACTAAACCTTGTATATTTCTTGCCTATTTCTATTATTTTTTAAAAGCTTTAAATGACTGTTTGGTATTCTATATCCATTTTTTGATTAAATGTTTGTAGAATTTATTCCCTAAAAAACACAACTAACCATTAACTCTTTTATAGATTGATGCAAATACTTTCCTATTCTATTACTTGTCCTTTAACTTTTTTATATGTATATTACTGTACAGTCTTAAATGTTTAATATAGTCATATTCTCAATATTTTACTTTATAGCTTGTGAGTTTGAATATTTTACTTCAGGGTAAGAGAAATATTAGTTTGTATTTTCTCCTAAAACTCCTTAGATTCTACATATTGATATTCAACTCACCTGAATATTTCTTGTATAATGTGTGAAACAGGGCTCTATATTTGTTTTATTTCAATAGTGGCCCATGCACTTTATTTGTTGAATAAGCCTTATTTTACCCTTGATTTGAAATATCAATTTAATCATATATTACATTGTTAGATATATACATTTGTCTCTAGAATGCTCATTATATTTCATTGATCTATTTGATTATTTCTTGCTAGTGTCATGTTGTTTTAATAGCTGAGAATTTATAATGGTTTTAAATTTTTTAATATAATTAACTTTGACATTTAAAAAATAAATAAAATCAATCTGCATTAAAGAAAAGAAAGAAAGAAATGGAACTCCTTCCTTTTGTAACAACATGGATGGAGTGGAGAACATTAAGCTAAGTTATATAATCCAGTTGATGAAAGACAAATAGCATATGATCTCACCTATAAGTGGAAACTATTCAACAAAATAAACTAACAAAAAAATAAATCACAGGCATGGAAACATGGAGTAGACTGAAAGTGACCAGAGGGGATGGGGAAAGAGGACAATGGTGGAAAGAAGGGGAAGGGACTAGACAAAGAACATGTATGAATGACCCACGGGCATGGACAACAGAGAGGGAATTGACTGTGGGAGCGAGAGGTGGGGACAGGATGGGTGGAGTGGGGTAAAGGGACAAAAATTGAGACAACTGTAATAGAATAAACATGATTTATAAATTAAAAAATTAAAAAAAGAAAAGAAACAGTTGCTAAAGTTCCTGGTGGTTTGGTCTTATTGCTCCACTGACATATACAAAAGGAGGAAAGAGAATGTGTCCTATACTCATTTGAATCTTCCACAATATTTAATACAATGTAGCCTCAAGAAACAGTAAATAAATGCTTGTTAACTGACCCATAAAAATTGTACCACTTATATACCTTGGCCGTCCCTATCTTTTAGAGGTTCATTCTTTCTCAAAAATATACAAAACACTTTTCAGTATTTTTTCACACTCATTCATCTTTCTCCTCCTCTTCCCTGTCCCATGGGTTCCAACTTTTACTATGGGAAGAACATTTGGAAATTTATCAAAAAGGGGATCCATAAATTGAGGCTCAACGTGATTCTTTTTAGAATTTACTTAATCTGTGTTACAAATAGAGAAATGAAGATGTTTGTTTTTACTTTAAGGAAATGCTTATATTTTGAGGATCTTTGTAAAACTATAATTAGTGTAGAAATCAATCACCTTATTAGAATTAGCAGTTATCTCTAGGATTCTATTAATAATTTCTCTCCTAACTGAAACATTCTAGATTACTGCCTCTCAAAATTTAGGAAAACACCCAAATATCTATCAGAGGTGACTAGATAAACAAAATATAGTGCACCCAACAGAATGGAATACTACTCAGTAATAAAAGGGAATGAACTATGGATACATGCAACAACATACATGAGTCTCAATGTAACTATGCTGAGTTAAAGAGGACAGACACAAAGATTACTTATGATTTCATTTACACAAAATTTTAGGAAATTCAAACTACTCCATAGTGACAGTTGTTGCCAGGAAATGAGGTAGGGGGAAGTAGTAGGGTTAGAAACAAATACGAGGAAACTTTGGGAGATAACGTATATGCTCATTATCTTGATTATGATGAGAGTTTCATGGGTATGTATGTCTATCAAAACTTGTGAAATAGGACAATTTATATGCTGTTTATTGTATTTCAAGTAACTTCATTAAAGCTGTTTAAAAGTAAACTGTGCATATGAATTACCTGGGGATCCTATAAAATACATGTTCTGATCTGGGGTAAGGCCTGAGATCTTGCTTCTCACCCAGCTCTCAAGTGGTCACAGAGCTGCTGCTCTGTGGACCATATTTTGAGTAGCAAGGCTATGACCTTAATTTTACATTACTATGTATAGTTCTCATGTCGCAGTATATGGTATACTTTTTTCTGTTCTGAAAAACTGTAAGAATATAAGTAAGAGACTTACGTTGACAGGAAACCACATGTAGGAACCTTCTTCAGGATATATGAACAGTCCATATTCTGTCTTGGTCATCTCTTCAAATACACAGTGGAAGAACTCAGACTTTACTCCTTTACCCACAGAACGAATTTCATTAATAAATTCAACCTGAGGAAAGAACACTCCAAGGATTAAAATATAATGCCTTGATCTTTATGGAAAAGTTTCAAATCTCCTGCAGTCACCAGAATTCCCAGAATCCCACACCCCATACCTCACTGAAGTCTGTACTCGGGCAATTTTGTTACTGAGCAGCAGATGCTGTAAACCTATTTACTGTCAGGTCATTGTATATTGAATGCACAGGTCCTTTACACTGCCACATGTGTCAGTGAAGGGGATTCCAGCAAGACTTAGCATTCACCAGTTATGTTGACCAGCATCTTAAACCAGATTTTGATGTGCTTCAATCCCCTGGGCCACTATATCCCTGATTCCTTTATTTTGCTATCTTTCTTCATTCCATCATTCAGACTATACAACTTTGGCTATTTGATTCCTCCTGCTTCTCCCTCATTAGGACTTCTGATAAACAGCCCTCTGCAGGAACCATCGGAACTGACTGCCCATATCCCTTGTGGGGGAAATTGATATGAACTAGTCCCTATTTTCTAAAGTCTACTTCTTTTCCTGGCTATTTTCTTTTTATCTTCTTAATATTAGCATCACTAAGCTTGACTAAGGGTTCTCTTTTTGCCTGGAAGATCTTATCTGCTGCCACTTTGATCCACTGATTCCCTGGCCACAGACCGTTATTTCCACAGGCCTGCCTCACATTCCATCTGGATAGTCCAGTAACAAACTAAGCTTGCTTCCAATTTTCTCATTTCTGCTCATTTACTCTAGCAAGTCTACCTTCACTGTGGTCAGGACCCACTAATGATGGGCCTTGACAAGCTTGCCTTGTTCAGGGTCTGTATTTTGACTGGGTCTGTCTTGAAGTTTACCTTCTTACCTGATTGCCATCTCCTGTAGGCAGGAACATTTTCTCTTTATTTCCTCATAATCAAGATTTAAAGGAAAGTAGGTACAGAAGGAGACATACAACTAGAGGTCTGGCTTATGAAAGAGTTTCTTTGTTTCCCATTGGAGTCCCATGCTGGGAAATATCCCTCTCTTGTCTGAGTCTCACCCTCCAAGTTCTGGTTTCTTCCCTGAGAGCATAACTCTTCCTCTCACGGCTGGTATCAGGAAAATCCACTCCCTTCTAAATAGACTAGAACTCAAATCGACAGAGTTAGTCATTATTTTATGGCCTCTACAGGGAAGATAATCTGGGGCACCACAAAATAAAATTCCTACAGGTGCCCACAAAGGATGAAGTAAAAGATAGCTAGTTAGAATCAATATAGCAGTAGAAGGTCTATAACTAAAACTAGAGCCAAAATGCAGGAAAAGTATTTGTTTCACCTTCTGCTTGTTGACTGTATTAACAGCCCCAATCTTCACTCCTTCTTGACCCATGTCTTTCACATGTGACTTTGCAGTTCTTCCCATTAGGGAGGCTAACTATATTTCATCAGCCCTTGATGTAGGTTCAGCCATGTGACTTGCTTTGACTAAAGCAATGTTTGTTTTGTGACTGGGCTTGTTTGCTTGTACCTCTGACACTGCTGTGAGAAGAATGTGCTTGCTGGCCCCAGGAAGAAGATGAAAAACACAGGAAGCAGAGCCAGACTGCCCCTACCAGGCCTACCTTGGATTGAGTTTAAGCAGATGAGTTCAACCTAGATCAGCAAATCCTCAACTGAACTGCAGTTAAAATTGTTATTTTTAAGTAATTAAGCTTTGGAGTGGTTCATTATGCATTTTTATAGCCATACTAGTTAACTCATAATCCCAATGCTTTTCACTGAAGGGTAAGCAATGAATTCTGGAAATCATAAGGTTGATAACTATAGTTGCAAATTCAGACTCTTCCTTTGCTACATTATATAAATGTTTCCCTCCCACATTAGTAAAAATATCCAATGAGACTTTTTACTGTACCACTAATTCTTTCTGGAGGTCAGTGACTTCTGCTTCGTTTAACTGATGCAGGGCATCTTGAATTAGGTGACTTCGTCTGACTCGAAGTAAAAATGTCGGTGATGTAGAGACTTCATTCTTTCCTGGTGGAATCATTTGCCCAATCATTTTTAACTTCTAGGAAAATAAATATTTTAGGAATCCTCATAGGAATATAAGAAAGTACTTAATATTTCAAATAAACCTACTTTGTTGAACATACAATTATGCCTACCATTGCAATATATAGTCATATTGTAATTATTTAAGGAAAAGAGCATCATACATACACTATAGGAGATAAAAAGATGGTAGGATCTGTGAAACTATGGTACCTGGTAATTATGCACAGGGGATTGGTCATCATGGATGTACAGCCAAGTAATTAAAAGCTATCACAGATCACTTAAACATGATCCTTAAAGGCAATAGTGGTGTTCAACACACTGAGACATTTACCCACCAACCTTAAGAAGCAGAGTGTTAGCACAATAATCCTCAAGAATATTAATGGCAGTTTAGGAGCTTAGGGATAATGTTAGATGTAAGAAAAAGGCTAAAGGAAAGACTTGCTCAGAAAAGACTCACATTTATCCTTCAAATAACTATGATCCACCTACTGAATGTGCATGGAAACTCCCTAAAAAATGTCACTGGTGGCCTCATTTGGTACCTAGCATTGTTCTCTGTTACCCTACATAGTACTTCCATTCAGCTTTTCTGAATTCTCAATATGTCCTCACCACTTTAGTCCCCTATCTTGTTTCTGCTGAACTCTCTTGGATGAGAAATCTAGCGTTGGAATTACTATCCTTGCTTTGACCTTTGACATTCCTGTAGGAGGGCCTCTGCTATATCACAAGGACAATAAAGGAGTCTTTAGAACTCATAAATCAGTGCCACCATAGTGACAGCAAGACAGGTGGGTATCTATCCTATTCCAGGTTTCCAGGCTGGGTGTCGTTGTCCATGTTAGTACTCTACAGCCATCTCAGACAAGTGCGCATGTGGCTCTGGGCTGGAGAAGCCCTGTCCCCGAACTCTGCCACCACTACACACTGAGAAATTATATGGGATTCCACTAGGTTCTTCTTGCTTTTCCTGAAGGTGTTTGTTGTAAAGAAGCTCCACATTTGTAGGGAGATGGAACAAGTGCCATTTCCAGTCCGTCCTGGTGGTGGGTCATCTCTTCCTGTGGCCCAGGAACCTGCAGCTCTGGGACACTTCAGCAATACTGACTGCTAAGCAACATGTTCTGTGGCTCTGAGTGACAAGCAGGCCAGCAATATCCTACATTGACTATAGTAAGCAGAGGTATATGTGTAGGCCCATGCTTCTCTCACTTAACCAAGAATCAGGCTTGAAACCTACATATCTTATTTTCCAGTTTTTCTACTCCCATTCTCCATGTATTGGTTTCCCATTTCTATATTTGTGCATTTGAATTCACAATCTAGTTTGGAACTTACAATTTTGATTATGTCCATCATCTCTCCTCTGGAGAACAGGACTCTTGAGTCTGCTGACTGACTTCACCCATGACAACTACAAGTAGGAGTTTTCTTGTCCTCAGACATTTCCCTATCCTTCATGATATATAACGTGCCTGGGTCCATTCTCCACTCAGCCCTCACTAAGAGAGTGGACAAGTTAGTCAGAAAGTTGCTATAGAAGAAAATAACAAAGAGGGGAAATTTTGCTTAAAGGAAACAAGGAAAAGTTAGCTTTGGGAAGGAGAGATTTAATCTGTTTTTTCCCCCATTACCAGGAATGTTAGTTGGGGGAAGAGGTGGCTGGGAAACAGAAGAGATGACAAAGTCAAATCTGATGACAGACACTACTAACAGTAACTAGAGGAAGAGTCCTTACCAATGGAATGCTTTTAGCAGGATGTACCTTGTCCCTCTAGGTTGATTATTATAAATAAATATGGCATTTACTGATTTATCAGGCGTGGCTCATTGGAAAATGTCATATAAGCTCTATAATTAATGGGGTATAGAAAGGAAGTTTTATTACTGAAGTGACTCCTTTTGTGTGTGTGATATCCCAGACTTTTCCATGTTTCACTTAGATGGTCAATATCCTTTGAATTATTAGTTAAAGTAATGGATATGTTTCTGATACCTGTGAATCTTTAAAGTCTATGATGATAAACATCATAGAAAACAGGTACCAACCTTTCCTAAGGAATGGCCTAGAAAGCAAGCCTCAGCAATCAAAAAATATTTGGAAAATCTTTAGCACAATGTCTGGGCACAGGGTAAGCATAAATGAGATCTAAGGCTGATGGCGATAAGAGAGACAAAATAGCATGTAAGTGTTATGTGGGAATAATACAACTACCAGAAAAAGAACAGAAGGGAGAGATTAAGTGGAAAAAAGAACAAAGTCACTGGGAATAAAAGAGTATCAGTCGGGGCTTACAAATCAAGCTCTAAGACTCATAAGCAGGTATGAAAATACAAAGACTAACAACTAAGAACATAGTGTAGTCACTAACACTGGACAGAGGAGAGGAAAAGAGCAGTTAGTCATTTCAGTATTGCTTATAGTAGGAAAACAAAGCATATTATCTAAAGACAGTGAAGACTCAGACATCATATACTAATGGGAAACGTAAATTAAAAATAAATTGAAATATCATGGTTAACCCATCAAAATGGAAAAGATCACAAAAGCTTGGTAACATTTCATTGGTGAGAGACTAAAAGAGGCATTTCATACATTGCTGGTAGTAACAAAAATCGGTACAACCTCTATGCACAGAACATCTAATAATTAAGGAAAAAGGATCAAGCATCATTCTACCTTCCTATGTGAATGATTTTTCAGGGTAGCTAAACATCTCTGATTGATGAGGAAAAGTTCTATGCAAGCTTCAGTTTATAACTTTGGAAGAAACGATCATAGAAATAGCGCTATTTTGCACACTTCAACCAAAACAATGGATGGAATTATTAAATAAAAGGTCCATGGGAAACATTACAATGGAAAAATCATGTGGTCACCAACTGAACCCACTGATGAATCTCAGCATAAGTAACAGTGAAACAACCAGAAATAATGCACTAAAACATGGAGAGGTGAAAAGAAAGTGGGCTTGGGATTTGCTTCAAAATAATTCAGCAAAAATACTAACAACTACAAAAACAACAAAAGTAATAAATGGAAGTGTGGCCAAATGTTGATGACTCTAAACCTTCGGGATAGGGTTCATTAAACCATTATTTCTATTTTGTACATGTTTGAAATTTTACATGACAAAAAAGTAAGGCATACGTACTACCTTTTTTATACTGGAATCAGCTTGCCATAATTTCATTTTGGATAGAAAATTAAAGATAAATGGAAATTTACTGAGAATAATGTGAAAGTAGTTTCCTTCAGGTACCTAAAAAATAAACAAGTAACAGTTTTGATAATTAAAAGAAGAGAAAAACTTCATCCCTTCCCCTCATCACCTTAAATTATTTTCCTTTATACTTTTTGGAATCTGTTTTTAAGACTCCAAATTCCTTAGTAATAAATTTATAATAAACTGTATTTGTTTTGTGAGTGCAAGATGTTTAAGTTATCAGTGATCATCTGATTTAGCAAATTTTGCATTGCAATAGGATATTTTCAAATATTGATTTACCAAAGAGATACATACATAGCTATTAATATGTCCCCTTTAAATTATGAAAATATTCAGAAATAAAAATGTTACTCTTACCAGGTTATTAATGACCATTATTTCTTTATAATTGCTCAACCAGCTGGAGAGTTCTTTTATGTTGAAAGTGTTCTCTGGTAGTTGACGGTTAGCTTTGTTTACCTTAAATAGAATATGACCTATGAATGTCATTTTCTATCAATAAATGACTTAATCTGTTATATATGACTATTATATAGGTAATCAGAATAGGGCTCAATAAACCCAACACATTTCTCAATGATGAAGTAGAGTTCTATAAAACTTCCATTTTTTTAAATCTGTTATTTCTTCAGCTTTCACGCATATTTAAAAAGATACAAGATGTTGGCAGTGGAGATAGTAAAACAATTCTTAGGGCACAGGATACAGTTTCTAGACTTTGAGAATAAAAGCACTATAAAAATCCAAGGCATTTTTGACAAATTCAGCCCTTTTTCCATTAATTGATAATATCAATTTAGTATACACTATTTGCGAGGTGTGGGACAAAACATAAGCTAAAAGTTGTCCTGGCTTTTACGCAGCTTAGTGTCTAGTATAATAGTCCGCAAACTCTTTCTTAAATCCAGATAGTAAATATTTTGAGATTGGAAGCATACAGTTTCTTGTGCAACTATTCAACCCTGCCGTTTTGTAGCACAAAATAGTCATAGACAATATGTAAACAAATGAGTGTGGGTGTGTTTCCATACGCTGTCTTTGTGCGTAAACTGTCAACTGGCAAAAACAGCAAGTGATCAGGCATCTAGGATACAGTTCCTCATTGGAGAAGTACTTAAAGAAGGCTTCTTAGAGGAAGCATACTGGAAATCAGTAATCTAAAGTTCCATCAAATCAAATGAATTCAAAAGACAGAAGGCAAGAAATAAAGCATCTGAGAACATAAACTAAGGAGAGAAAAACCAGATGTACAAGAGAAAGGATCAACAAATAAAATGGGGGATTTTTGGCTACTTGAAGTAGCGAGGTGGGAATTATTCTATAAAGTACATGATTTTCTAACCTCTTTGTTGTCCATCTGAAACTAATACAGAATAATATTGAATGTAAACCATAATCAAAAAAAATTATAAGTAAAAAATTTTTAAACGTTGATTCTTAAAAAACAAACAATTAAAAAAACAAAAACAAAAACCAGCTTCCTGGTAAGACTAACCCAGGAAGAAAAAAAAAGGCAAATAACCAATATTAGAAATGAAAAGTACACATCAGAGACAGAAGTGGATTATTAAACATTTTAATCCTCATAAAGTTTCACATATTTAAATCCCCAGTTATTTTATGCCGAACATTTCCCTTTTATACATTACTTTATAATCTGTTTGACTCCACTTGATTCATATTTGTCCTCCTAAGATTCCAATTAGCCATTCACAACAGCATAAAAATGAGTGAGTTCCGGCCAAGATGGAGGCGTAGGTAGATACACATTGCCACCTTGCACAGCCAAAAGGACAATAACAAATTTAAAAACAAAAAATAACCAGAAACGCCAGAAAATCTAACAGTATTGAAGTCTGGCAACCAAGGAGTTAAAGAAGAAACACTCACCCAGACCGGTAGGAAGGGCAGAGACAGACAGCGGGGGCAGAGTGGACACGTAGCAAGGAGGTGGCTGGAGGACCCAGTGGGCAAGATGACAGCATGTGGATAAACTGGGAGAAAGAGCTGGGGAGTGGGATAGAACGCACAATCCAGGTTCCAGTGCAGGACAAGAAAGCCTCAAAACTCCTGGAGCTAAAACTTGGGGTTGAGGCGGCAGGAAAAACTCCCAGCCTCAAGGGAGAGTCCATTGGAGAGACCAACCAGGTCCCAGAATGTACACAAAACCACCCACCCAGGAATCAGCACTAGAAGGGCCCAAGTTACTTGTGGGTAGGAGGGGAAGTGCCTGAAAGCTGGCCAAGAGCCAAGCGAGCAGCATTGTTCCCTCTCGGGCCTGTTCGCCACATGCAGTATCAAAACACAGCAACCTGGGTTGCCTGCCACCCCACCCTCCCCACTGAAGCAAATACCTAAGGCTCTGCCTCTCCCAATATAACAGGCACACTGAGACAAAGAAATATGGCTCAAATGAAAGAAAAGGCCAAAGTGCCAAAAATAGAACTAAACGATGAACAGATAGACAACCCTAACAGATGCACAGTTCAAAACACTGGTAATCTGGATGCTCACTGAATTGGTTGAGTATGGTTGCAAAATGGAGGGGAAAGTGAAGGCTATGCAAGGTGAAATAAAGAAAAATATACAGGGAATCAACAACGAAGGGAAGGAAATTGGGACTCAAATCAATGATTGGGAGGAGAAGGAAGACATAAACATTCAACCAGAAAAGAACGAAGAAACAAGAATTCAAAAAAAATGAGGAGAAGCTTAGGAACCTCTGGGACAACTTCAAATGTTCCAACATCCGAATGATAGGGGTGCCAGAAGAAGAAGAGGAAGAGCAAGAAATTGAAAACTTATTTCAAAAAATAATGAAGGAGAATTTCTCCAATCTGGTGAATTAAATAGTCTTCCAGGAGATCCAGGGAGTTCAAGAGTCTCAAAAAAATTGGACACAAGGAAGTACATACCAAGGCACATCATAATTACATGACCCTAGATTAAAGATAAGGATAGAATTTTAAAAGCAACAAGAGAAAAGGAGACAGTTATCTACAAAGGAGTTCCCATGAGACTATCAACTGATTTCTCAGAAGAAACGTTGCAGGTGAGAGGGGGCTGGCAACAAAGTCATGAAAGACAAGGACCTACATCCAAGATGACTCTATCCAGCAAAGATATCATTCAGAATAGAAGGGCAGATAAAGTGTTTCCCAGATAAGGTCAAGTTAAAGGAGTTCATCATCACCAAGCCCTTATTATGTGAAATGTTAAAGGGACTTATATAAAAAGAAAAGAAGATCAAAAACTATGAACAGTAAAATGACAACAAACTCACAACTATCAACAACTGAACCTAAAAAAAAACAACAACAACTCAGCAAACAACTAGAACAGGAACAGAATCATAGTAATGAAGATCATGGCGGGGGGGAGGGAAAGAATGGGGGAAAAGGAAACAAGCAGTATAAATAGTAGGTACAAAATAGGCAGGGGGAGGTTAAGAATAGTATAGGAAATGGAGAAGCCAAAGAACTTATAAGTACAACCCATGGACATGAACTCGGGGTTGGAGGATGCTGGGGGGAGGGATGGTGCAGGGTGGAGGAGACCAAAGGGGAGGAAAAAAAATGGGTCAACCCTAATAGATTAATCAAAATATTTATTTTTTAAAAAAGGATGAAATACTTAGGAATCAGTTTAACCAAGGAGGCAAAAGATCTGTACACCAAAAACTATAAGACTTTAATAAAAGAACTTGAAAAAAAAATCCAGAAGAAAATGGGAAGATATCCTGTGTTCATGGGTTAGAAAAGTTAATATTGTTTAAATGGCCATACTACATAAAGTAATCTACAGAGTCAATACAATTCCTCTCAAAATTCTAATGGCATTTTTCACATAAGTAGAAAAAAATAAATCTTAAAATCCGTATGAACCACAAAAGACCCTCAATAGTCAAAGCAATCCTGAGAAAGAACAAAGCTGGAGGTATTACACCTCCTGATTTATAACTGTATTACAAAGCTGTAGTAATAAAAAAAAAAAAAACAGTATGGTACTGGCATAACTATAGACACATAGCCCAACAGAACAGAATCAAGAGGTCAGAAATAAATACTTGCATATTTTTTAAAAATATTTATATTTTAGAGAGAGGGGAAGGGAGAGGTAAAGAGAGAGAAACATCAATGAGCCATCTGTGTGTGCCTGGACTGGGGACTGAACCCGCAACTGAGGCATGTGCCCTGACCAGGAATCAAACCAGCAACGTTTTGTTTTGTGGAATGACACCCAACCCACTGAGCCACACCAGTTAGGGCTAAATCCTTACTTATTTGACAAGGGAGCCAAGAATACTTAATAAGTAAACGAGAGTCTCTTCAATAAATGCAGCTGCGACAATAAGATAACCACATGCAGAAAAACGAAATTGGACCCCTATCTTACATCGCTCAGAAAAAATTAACTCAAAATGGATTAAACACTTAAACATAAGACATAAAACCATAAAGCTCCTTGAAAAAAAAATTGGAGAAAAGGTCCTTGACACTGATCTTGGCAATGACTTTCTGTTTTTATTTTTTCCTTATTATTGAATTTATTGGGGTGACACTGGAAAACAAAATTATACAAGTTTCAGGTGCACAATTCTTAAACACATCATCTGTACACTGTATTGTGTGTTCTGAAGTCAAGTCTCCGTTCATTACCATTTATCCCCCTATACGTTCTGCCACTTCCGTCCACTCCACCAGTTATCACACTGTTGTCTGTGTCCAGGAGTTTTTGTTCATTAGATTTCACGTATGAGTGAAATCATATGGTACTTACCTTTCTCTGGCTTATTTCACTTAGTATAATGCTCTTCAGTCTGTCCATGCTTTCAGAAAGGGTAATATTTCCTTCTTTTTTTTACAGCCAAGTAGTATTCCAATGTGTAAATGTACCATGGCTTTTTTATGCACTCATCTAATGATAGACACTTGGGCTGCTTTCTAATCTTGGCGATTCTAAATGCTGCTGCAATGCACACAGGGTTGCATACATCTTTTCGAATTAGTGTTTTGGGTTTCTTCGGATATATTCCTAAAAGTGGAATCCCTGAATCATAAGGCAGTTCCATTTTTAATTTTTTGAGGTAATTCCGTATTGCTTCCCACATTGGGCTGTACCAGTCTGTATTCCCTTCAACAGTGCACAGGGGTTCCCCTTTTTCCACATCCTTGCCAACACAGGTTGTTTGTTGATTTATTAATGACAGTCATTCTGCCAGTTGTGAGGTAATATCTCATTGTGGTTTTAATGTGAATTTCTCTGATGATTACTGACCATCTGATAGGCGTCTGATAATGACCATCTCTTCATATGCCTATTGGCCATCTGTATGTTTCTTTGGAGAAGTGTCTATTCAGGCCCTTTGCCCATTTTGTAATTGGATTTTTTTTTCACGTTCAGCTTTGAAAAGTTGTTTATCAATTTTGGATATTAACGCCTGATCAGGTATATTGGCA